ATTGAAAATCCAAGTTAGGGGGCTTGACTTGATGAGGTACAACTAAGAAAAAATTATGTGTTGCACGGAAAAGATATTTGGAAAAAATAACATAAAAATCAATTTGTTTTCACAGTATCTCAGAGCTTGAACAGCTTGAGGTTTTGACAGAAACTTGAAAGTTATAATGGAATAGTGTTTCATCAATCTTTTTAAAATTAATTTCAAGAATGCAATAAATGAAGTTTGGTTGGTTCATCTATTTTAAAAGTGGTACATTACGTATTTACTTCCCTTCTTTGAAAGGGTTAAAAATGATTCAAAATTCACCACTCACACCAACACTGAAAAAAATAGTTCTTGGAAGAAAAGCATGCTGGTTAAATTCATCAGTAAGAAAACATCTATTATAGGTTTTAAAATCCCAATGAAAGTTTTTTGGACAACTTTTTGATTAATTCTGCTGGAACATATTTCAATTTGGAAAGTTTTCTGATATACAGTAGTCAGAAAAAGTAATTTTAGGAAAGAAGAGCTGCTTATGGAAAAAAATTTGCATTATAATCATTTGTTTTATGGTGATACCTTCAAGTTTTTTCAACAAAAACCCATCCATTTAGACTTCAAACTATATACTGTACTTCCTCATAATTCAGATCAATTTCTTGTTTGACTTTCTTGAAGAATTTTTTCATAATGTAGCTATCCTCCTAATCCCATCCAATGGCATTGTTGTGACAAGATTTTACTGTAATGCAATAACTTCATTTGTAGTTCTGTAGAATACCTTTGATATTTCCTCTGTGATAGACTTGACCGCACTCTCTTGGAGCTTCACAATGCCTTCAACATCACCACACTTGGTGCCTTCTGGTTGAGGATGATCTTGGGATGCTTCTTCAGCAGATATTTCTTGGCCATCTTTCTCAGTTGTATCCTGACCACTCACATGTCTGACCCTATTCCTCTTTGGGCTTCTGTATCTCTTTCTGCTGGAGGATCTGGAAGACTTCTTGGTCAGTGATTTGATGGAAACTGTACTGGGTCTTGGTTTCATGTCTGCTGTTGGCCCCTGAAGGGGATCAGCTGGCTGCTGCTTGCTGGGGTTCCAGACTGTAACTTTATTGGCTTCTTGTATCTCTTGGAGAATGTTCAACATCATTGTTTTCATGTATCTTGTGTTCCCTAGGAGACAGCGTTGGAGACAGTCCTGATACCTGTTGATGGTCATAGTTGATAATTGTATGCATGGAGACAAATAATGTAATAAATGGCTTCCCTTTTTCTAGTTTTGCCCTACTTAATAAGCAAAGATTGTAAATTTTGAAGACAACAACATTAGAGTATCTGGATATATTATTTGAGTTTCAAGTGAGTCCTGAATTAAAAAGCAAGAAGAAATTGGAAGTCAATCCTATTTCACTTTTTTTAAGGCTAAATTCCTATTTTTATTTCTGATATCTTTTGAACAATTGCAATTCAAAGATCAGCCCAACATTTTCTGCCAGATGACTGAAGTGTGACTGGTAACCAAGAATAGAATGCATGAAAATCTATATTTGGCATGAAATACATCCCATTTTCCTTGCTTGAATTATGTGAAAATGGAGAAATTGGTTTTCAATATTTTGGCAAAGTTTTAAGAAGTTTCTCTAAGACTATAAAAACTGGAATTTCTTCCTTATTTCACCATGCATCCTTGTTCCCCTTTTCTTTTAATTTCTTTTTCAATGAAAAAATGTGCATTGTTTACACTTATACATATGTACTGCATAGAGAAGTCAGAGATGAGGGAAAGATTTCTTTTCAGCATTATCACCAACAAGCTGAGGGTACCCGACCATACCTTGGAATACTGGTTCAAGATTCTAGAAAGATTTTTAAAATTTCCCATGGAGCTGGTAACATGTTCAAGGTCCTCTGGGAATTCACATGTTGATTGTCCATGAAAAACATGGAATTTTTAAATTTTTAAATAATAGCATCTCAGTGAAAATTACACAGATTTTATCTTCATCCCTAGAAGTTACCTTGCCCAAGAATTCAAACCCTAAAAGCCAATAATTTTTTGGTTGAAGTGAAAGTTCACCTTCAATCTCAACACCCCCGTGGAGTTTTATACATATGACCTATAGTGTCCAAGTAAAACCATGGGTAGATATATCAAAAAATGAAAAATGTTGCTTGACACTGTATGAATGAATGAACAGAAGACTTTATTTGCCGCTTTTCAGCATTCACAAGGTTCAATCAAGATTCCCACACCCAAACCCCCTTCCCACTCAACCCAAATCCACTCAATGACATTTTAATCACTTGAAAGCAGGAAAGCACAAATTGATGACCAAAAAAAAGAAAATACAATACAACATGAAATACAACTGGACATCTGACATATTCCCTGATATTGGTAACAAAATATATGTAAAAAAAATTAATTTATAGCACAAGGTCTTCAGCTTGTTGCTGTATGAGATTTAGTTGAATGAACAAATTACAGAGAATCTTTGATGAGAAATCATATATTGTCACTCCATGTACCTGAAGGCAAGTATAATTTTTTTCCTGTACATGACACCTGATGGCAGGTCAAAGGCTAAACCCCTGTAACCATACGTGAAAAAAAAAGAACCAGCCAAATTTGGGAGAGTTGATTGATTTTTTTAATTTTTCAACCAACCTTTCAACATCTTTGAGAAACAGGACCCTGCATTTTTTGCCACAAAAAGGAGCCCTTTGCATCGGAATGGGCTTCAAGGTTGCCAATCGGCCATGATCCTTGTCCACAGTCTTGGACCAGGCATTGCTGCTGGTGGAACTGCTCACAGATGAGGCACTGGTGCTGGTTTTGCTGGACGCAGCCCCCGGGGGCAGGACCTGGTGCAGAACCCTCTTCAAAGCCCCCGCGGGCACGTCATCGAGATAATGTTTGCCCAGTGTCGACCCTGCGTCGTCGTCGTTGTCGTCATCAGCGTCTTTATTTCTGCCTCGAACCCGGCCAGTTTTCGGATTCAACACCTTTTCAGCGGGCACCACGAGGAAATCCAGGGATGACTTGTTGCCACTCGGGGTGAACGAGTTGAGGATGTCGTCGGTGCTGGGTTCCACGTCATCGGGGGCTTTGAATCCCTGCTGCTGGGAACCCCGCGGGGGTCGACGTGGGCGAGTTTTGCGCGGCTTGCTGCGATGGCGCCACCGGTCTGACGCGTGGTGATACTTGGACGCAGTTTCTTTCGCCTCTTCCAGGGCTTGTTTACGCTCCAACTCCTTGTTGTGTCTATAGGTCACCTGTCCTCAAAGAGATATATACAGAATATATGCAGTGAGACCCCGAGTTGTGGACGTAACTGGTGCATCAAGAGTGTCCCCAAGTCAAAATGTCCCTAAGTCGAGTCTCATTTCCCCTTAGACTCACATTATATAATTTTTAATTGGTGTTTTATGGACAAAAGACTCACCATAATTCCATGTCAAGAACTTTTCTTACATCAATTTCAGGGTTGGAAATATCTGTTTCTTGTAATTAGGCCAGAAATGTATTTGCAATTTTATCACAAAATGGCCCTATGTTTAGTCATTGTCCTCATGTTGGGCCATTTTTATTAATTTTTTCTGGGAAAATAAGTGTCCCTAAGTCAAATTGTCCACAGGTCCAGGCATCCGCATGTGGGGGTCTCACTGTATATAGAAAATATATACATCAAACCCTGTTAAGACCAGGGGTGTTGATTGCGTTGCAAGGAACCACAAAACGCAATTGCGTTTGCGGTTTTTTGCCAGAGTAAAATTCAGGCTGAGTTTGGTTGGTGCTTGTGAGGGGTAAAAATTGGGTTGCTTGAGAGGTTCTCCTCTTGTGGGAGGAGGTGAGAGGAGAGGGTGAGTTACAGGAGGCTGTTTGCTAGGCAGAAGAATACAGTAATAAAAAAAAAGGTCAGGGGTTCATAGATCAAATAATTCAAATAATTTAAGGAGCACAAGATTTGAAATTTAAAATTCAGGCAAAAATCATTTCAATGCTTTAATTTTTGGTACTTGGCTGTTATCTCAGTACCTCATTCCTAGACCTCACTACCATCCAGACAAATCTTTAGGACGAGTTCATAATCACAACAACCTACCAGAAACTGTGAATTTTATTTTTCTGTCCAAAGAAAGCAGAAACTGATTTTGGGAGGTGGTTAGGTGAAGTTAGTTTAGGTCAGGTTAAATTGGTCAGAGGGAAGGTACAGAGATAACAGAAAAGTAGGTACTGAGATAACAGGAAAGTAGGTACTGAGATAACAGGAAAGTACCCAATTTTTCATATGAGTCCAACTATCAATCTTTATATCTTCATTTACAATTATAACTGAAGGAAAATACCAAGAATTTGGGAGTTGAGCAGAAATGTAAATGATGAAGTGCTATATTTTTCCTACATTAGATTGCATAAATGCAATATTTCTTCACACCTATTTAACATGCTCATGAATTATAAAATTACTGGTTGAAATTTTTTACAATATACTTTTTATATAAAAATGCTTATTCTAATAGAAACTCCGGATACTTATGATGGACTGTACAAAAAGAAAGTCGTTTTGAAAAATGTTCAGCATGATTCCACATTTCCATGTAAATTATTTTCCCAAAGAAAGGTGGGTCTTCTCTCAACTTTCTTATTCAATGTTTTCTTGAAAGGAAGGGGTAATTGTTTCTTAAAGTGGAGGGAAAGTGGGATATTCCATCCCCTGTTTTCCTGGTTTCTCTTCATACTTATGGAGAACCATTTATCCCCACCACCAGCTGTTAGAAAGAAAATTAATTTCTTTCCCAAGATCAGGAAAAAGGTAATTTTTCAATTTCCTCAACTCCCAAGTTTGAACACTTCTTCCACAATTTCACCCCACAATTCCTGGGAAGCTATTTTTTCCTGTTGCAAACAGCTGGAGGTGGGATACATGATACTCTAGTAGGATGACAAGAAGCCAGGAAAGCCAGGGGGGGTGAAGTTTCACCCAAAGACCCCCTCACTTCCACCTGAGTTCCTCATGCCCCTCAGTTTGAGAAACTATTACCCTTTCCAAGTGTTCAGCAAAAAATAAGAAAGTAAAAGATAAGACCCACACTTTTTTTTTAGGAAGGAATTCAAGTGACGGAGGAATCATTTTGTGAAATTTTTAAACTGTGATTTTAATTCTTTAAAAATTTGGAATCCCTGAGCATTTCCCCATAAAAAATAGAAAGAATATCCATGGTTTTATATATTGATAATGCATATACTGCACATTTTTATTTTAATAATGTTTCATGATTTTTTTTCATTCTGCCCTTTAAGAAACAAAAAATACCCGGCATAACATTCAATGCTCAAGAAAATAATACCATAAATTTGTTGAAAACCTTTTTAATCTTTAATTGATATCATTTTCAATTTCAGGAGGACCAACTTTTGGCCCTCCTGAAATGAATTTTCTGAGTTGGAACAGGTGAAAAGATATCAAATATATATATTTAAGTACTGTATGTTGATTATAGAGGAATATATATTTAGCCAGAGGTAATGCCAGAGTCAATCCCAAAACAATTGACAATTTATTTATAACCACCAATGCCCCAATGATTTTTTTATTGAATGAAATATGAAATTTTTCAGTGCAATGGCCTCAGAAATTGTTTTTGGTCACATTCCTAATGGGTTTGTTTTCAACTGCATTATTTCCTAATTTGAAATTTTGAGTGACACACCTGGAGTTTTCCTTTTAAAATTCAATTGCAAATGCCTTTGTGGCAGTTTTTTTCCTTGCTGATTACATTTGTGGGTGCTTTTGTGATGAAAAAAATTTTGAGCCCTTGCACTTCTGTGTGCAGTTGCCCTGAAAAATTTGAAGTGTGGTTGTGTTTGCATATCAACCTTTTCAGCTGCGATTAACACCCCTGGTTAAGACGCCCCCAATGAAGCACCCCCCTTGGCAACCACCAAAACTTAGAATGAAAAAAATCTCCTCCATGTTAAATTCTATGGAAAACCTGAAAAAGACACCAACCCCCATCTGTCAGCATTAGTGATGAAACAAAACCATATTTTTGGTGGGGGGGGGGGAGGGTTGGTGCAGTGCATTTTAGTTTGACCCTATAGGTCCCTGAAATGATCCCAGTTATTGAGATGGCCTAAATTGGGAAAAGTCTGGGAGGAAACATTTCCACTATTTTTAGGATTGTTCATGCAAATCCTGTGGCAGGAATGCAGGGGGAAAAACACTTATGGCAGTGAGGGATTTTTTTATTGTTCATTTTAAAATTTTCTGCTGGATTTAAAAAAAATCAAACATTTTCCCAACTTAGGCCTTGGTACAAGTAAGATTTTTTTTTCAGTGCTCAGTAGTGGCACATAACTTTTCAGAAATATCCTAACTTTGCCACACAAGGGGTTTATATATAGACTCCAAAAAAATGGCAGTGTGAAAACACAAATAAACCAAGCAAAAAAAACAATGAAACTTCTTGGCCATTTGTAAAGGAATGAACCTAAGATACAAACTTGCCGCATTTCAGACATTCTCTGGGTGAAAAAAAAGGACAAAATCAAGAAAAAAACCAAGCCTATGGAAAATTTTTGCAATTTTTGCATGTATACCTTTCGAGAGTCTTCAGAGTCGACATCATCAGCAGGGTCCTTGAACTTGCTGGCCATTTTCAAGAGTCGCATGGACCGCACAGTGGCTGGCAGTTGCGCAGTGTCCTCTACCCGTCGGTGTTTCTTTCCCTCACCGATGGACGAGATCCAGTTGGCAACCTTGGCCGTGCGTCGCCTGTACACAGCGTTATCGCCGGTCAGCAAGTCCGACTCGCTCCGCAATGCGTTGACTAGTCGCAGGGCAGTGGCCCGCATCTTGCCCTCAGGCACGGAAGTAGTCGTCATGACAATATCTTCCTTGGGGATATCGATTTCGGGGTTATCTGGATTAGACCTCTTTTTAATTTGTCTCCGGGGAGGGGGGGGAGGATATAAAAAATGAATTCAGATGAGGTTCTCAACCCATCTCTGATGATACTGTGCTCCATCAACATCCACCTTGATTTGGACATTTTGATTCTGGGTTTTGATGGGTATAACTGCAGTACTGCATTTGCATCCATTATAGATTGGAGGACAAACTAACATATTTATACTCTAGTACCAATAAAGACCCACATTTGACTCCTTTGAGTGCAAGAATTAAACCTGAATTTTTCAACCAAAATTTTGGGTGAAAACCTAATCTAGAAAAAATATGCACATCCCCTATTATCACTAATTTGATAATTGCAGTACTGTATTGGGATATGAAACAAAAAAGAAATTAAATTTATGGATTTGAACCTGATCTCAGATAATTCAAAGCACTTTCATTTTTTTATTGTTCATTAAATTATTCATCAAGTATGATGCACCCATGAACTTCTGAAAATTTTGAGATATTATGCCTGTCAGGATGAACCCCCATCTTAATTACAGTATTTATTCAAGTACCTCAGTGTTATTGACTGCTGAAAAACTACAATACAGTCAACCCCCGTCTAACGGACTTGATTTGTGCAAGGGACAAGTCTGTTAGACAAAAAGTCCTTTACACGAATTCAATTACATAAAAAATAAAAAATTTCAATTTTCAACACTAATTTTAAACTAAATTCAATTACATAAAAAATAAAAAATTTCAATTTTCAACACTAATTTTAAACAAAAAGAAGTCTGTTTGGCAGATTTTGTCTGTTGGGTGGGAGGAAAAACTGCTTGCAGAGCTGGTCTGTATGGCAAAAATCCCTTACATGGGAGGTCTGTTAGGCGGGGGGCCACTGTATTTCAAAATACCCAGAATTTTGATTTTAAAAGGTGTATTTGAAAATTTTCTTATTGTATTCAAATGTGATGAGCATTACCAAAATTTCAAACATTTTTTTACAATTTTATCCCTACATTTGATGCATATAACCTCTTTACATCTCCATTTATAAAAAAATAAAGTCCACATGGTGCTCAAATAAATGCAGTAAATAAAAGATGACTGTGGTACTCAATCAAAGGCAAATTTGACTTTTGCAGATTTGAGTTTGATGGAGAACCTGGGAACTTCAGGTGGAACCAAAAGGGCTCTGCAAAGCACAGGTTGAAAACCTCTGCAATACCTGATGTTGAGGGTACAGTCAACCCCTGCATAATGGACTTGATTTGTGCAACAGAGTAGTCTGTTGTTTTGAAAGTCTGTTATGCAAATTCAATTAATAAAAATTTAAAAAATACTTTTTACCATTAATTTTCAACCAACAGAAGTTTGTCTTGCAGATATAGTCCATGGCGCAGGAGGGGAAACTGCCTCCATGGAGGTGGTCTGTTGTACAAGAATCTGTTGTGCAGGGGTTGACTGTATTTTCGATTACTTCAGGGGATGGTACCTGGGATACATGTTCTTGGTCTGAGCCAGCATCTGATCTAGGGGGGTGACGGTTGGTGGTGTAGCTGACTTGCAAATTTGAGTCTGATCCCAGACCAGACTTGTAGCGTCTCCTTCTCCTTCCTGTCAAAAAGGCTCATATTTTACAACAACAAAAATCATCAAAAATAACCTCAATTCTTGTTACAACAAATTTTTTTATGGTCCGATTGGGTTCTTGTCACATAGCATAGCAGTTCTCATCTTCTAAATGAAAAAATTCTGTCTACAACAACTTATTTTCTTGTCCCTTGAATTTCATTGCAGAGATAGTTCACAACAATTTTGTTCATGACAATATTCTCTGTAAAGGAGGACTCTCTTTAAAATGATCTTGTCCATAAGGAATTTCTCATCTGTACAACAAATTTTTTGCAGTCCCAAAGGAATCTCTCCCATGTTATAGGAGTCCTCTACAACAAAATTTATTTGTGTTGTGGATTTTTTTCTGGCCCCTGCAATTCTTAGCACAGAGAGTCCATTTGTATGAAAAATTATTTTTAGTCCAATTGCTGGGTTCTCTCTGTGCGTTATAGGACGCTGTACCCCTACAACAATTTTTCTGGTCCCTTGAGATTTGTTGTAGAGAGAGTTCACTTGTATAAGAAATTCTCATTAGTCCCTTGTCCAAGTGGGGAGCTATTCTTTGTGTGACCCCACAACTGGTGCACACTGCGGTCAAAACTGGTGTACATGGGCTATTCTAGGGTTACAAGCATGCACGTCTGTAGATGAAATTTTGCTACCATTCCAGGGCTACATTTGGTGCACAGATGTGATATAACAGGAGTATTACACAAATGAACCAACTGTAACCTTGGCGTAACTTGTTCGTTACAAATGTGACCCTAAGTAATCCTGGTGTGAACACACAATTGGTGCACATTGGGGATATGCATGTGCAGAAGAAGAACTTTGGTACACTTCAGGTGCACAGCAGGGTCACTGTGTGGAAATACATGCATATCCCAAGTGTGCACCATTTTCCCCACTTGGGATGGGTTATCTCACCTTATTGTTTTAGTGGTTATCAAAAACAACAAAAATCCCTACCATAAAATTGTTTCTTGTCCTTCAAATGTCATTGTTGAGAGTCCACCTATATATAAGGAATATTTCCTAAACGTTTTTGAAAATATAGATTAGTGAACCAAAACTTCCCCAGAAAGCTGACAGATGCAAAATTGTTTGACTTTGATCAACTATTCAACTTTTTTTCAATATTGATAGCTTATTTGTTTTAAATCTTTAACATTGAACAAGGGATGAGAAATACCCTCTGAAGAAAGCTTTCTATGGAGGAAATCCGAGTCATCGACGGGGCTTGTGGCTGTGTTGTGGCCGTAATCCGAGTCAACCAGGACTGCTACAGCTGCAGATGAATCTTGCTGAATAGACAGCAGGTCCACGTCTGCGGGGCTAAGGTTCTTTTCTGCACCCAGGATTGAGGCCCGGACATCGGGTCCGGAACCCGTCTTGGCCATGGTGATGCGGATCAAGGCATGGGCCAGGAATTTGCAGAACTTTTGAGACTCCATTTGCAACATACGCACCATTTGCTTCCGGGATGATTCATACAATCGGGTCAAGTGTGTGTTTTCGTCGTTTTTGGACCTGCGCATTACTCTCTCCAACTGTTGACAGAAGGACATGGATAAATTATGATCAAAAAATCATTTAAATTAAAATTTCAATGCACTTGAGGGTAAATTTGTAAAAAGAATTAAAATATGTTTCATAGGAAGGACTGGTGTGAAAATGTTTTCTTGCAGAAAAACAACCTTTTTTCCAGCCCCTAATAGGGCTTCTGCCAAAAGTATTTTCCTGACCAGGCTCATATAAAATACAGTTGAAATATATGCAATATATATTGAACCTTTTTACCCATTCTGTGCTGGAAAAGTCAAAATAATTTCACAAAATTTGGTGCCCAAAAGCAACGAAATAAAAAACTTATTTTAGAACCAAGGCCTAATTTGGCTTAAATATGTTTTGGCAGAAAAATTTTGCTGAAGAATAAAAAAACCCTTGCTGGAAGGTATTTTTTCCTGCATTGCAGCATTATCATTCAGGATTTTTAAGAACAAAGGGTTCTTTCTCATTTCACCACAGTGTCAGGATTTTTTTTTGGGGGAAATTTCAGTTTGACCCAAGTTCACTGAAATGCTCCCAGGTTGAGAAGGCCTAAGTTGGAAAAAAACTGGGAGGCAAGTTTTCTGTTGTTTTCAGGATTCTCCCATGAAAATCCTTGGCCAGGAATGTAGGAAAAAATGCCAACCAGTGGAAGATTTTTTATTAAAAATCTTCTGCGCAGGATTAGAAAAAACATTGGACTCTTTTTCAATTTAGGCCTTGGTACAGAAGTGGAATTTTTAAATTTCCTGTGCTACTAGTAGCCCAAAATTTTGCAAAAATATCCCCAACTGATGCAAAAGCTTAAATCTTCCTGGATTTTTTATCTGATTTAGACCTTCCCAATAACCCAGGCCCATTTTGTAAATCTCTTGTCAAACTAAATTATCCTGGTTTTCAGGAAATAATGAAAGTTTACTAAAAAAAATTCTCAAATTCACTTTCTTTGGACTCTCTGAAGAGGTACAACTGTATTTACCCCAAGTCAAAACTATGTCTAAAAACATAATGGTATTCCAAATTAAAAATTTAGTGGGGAAACTGTGATCTGTGTCATTGAAATGAATTATGAGAAAAATAAGATGACTTGATTTCAACCCTGTTTAGACAGTTATTTCTTACTTTGACATTTAGGGTGAGAAAATTTGATTCAATATTCCTACAGCATATTATGAAGGACAGCCAAACATGTTTTTTAAATCAATGAACCTCCACATCCACACCACCAGACAGCTTCTTCTCATGCAAGTACAAGGACAGCTCTTTGACAATAGTGCGCATGAAGTAATGATGGATCCTTGAAGTCTCAAGAACTTGTTCCTTGAGAACTTGCCCAGCCAAACAGAATTTCAAAGTAGACCCATGATCCATGGCTGTTGAGACCTTTTGAAGGTCAGACAAAATTTTCAAAGAAGGAATGCTGGGATTAACTCATCAGATAATAATGTTGATTGACATTTAGAATTGGGTGCTGATAACTTTCATCTGGTTCTTTGGGCTGCTCATCACTTATTGATTCATCTCCATGAATATATGCGATATGTTATTGTCTCCATGGATCCCTCCTAAATACGATTTCATTTTTTTTTTACTGAATTTTAGATGGAGTTACTTTGAATCCAAGTTTAGCTGCAAATGGCTTTGAACTTCCCTCGTTTTAGGCAATTTTGTGCAATTTTCGTGAACGGAAATGTCAGCATCCAATTTTCATTTCAAGTTTATTATTGATGTGCTCCACTTCCACCTTTGCTGGGTTTACTTATTGAGAGACCATTTTGCTCTACAATCTTTTTGTAACTCAAACAAATGAGAAAAGGTTCAATGACCCTCAAGTCAACTCACATTTTATGTCTGGCTTCCTTTTTTTGACTGGAAGCCCTTACGGGAATACAAACAGTTCCAAGGTGATGTCAATGCAAACAATCAGTCTCTTTTGAAGAATAAAGTTGTTAATTCTTGTACATTATATATACATATATATAAATATATACAGTGAGACCCCGAGATGCGGATGTAATTGGTGCATCAAGAGTGTCCCTAAGTCGAAATGTCCCCAAGTTGAGTCTCATATTTCCTTAGACTTACATTAAATAATTTTTAATTGGTGTTTCATGTACAAAATACTCACCCTAATTCCATGAAAATAAAAATTGTCACCAAATTTAAACTGATTCAATCAATATATTTCAACACAATATGATCATTTGGGGGATTGAATACTGTTACATCATCTGTACAGTACATACAAGCAGTGTTGGAATTTTCTGTAAAAATAAAAAGCCCTTGTGGCACCTGTGGTCAACTGGATCTACTACAGCGCCCTCTATGCAGAGAGGTATTTGGGCTCCCCACAGGAACATCGCAAAAGCTATGAGTATGTGACATAATAAGCCATATATATACAGATGGTACTTTACAATTTGACCCTAATCCATTGCCAAACTAGGATCTATAATTGCAAAGCGGTTGAATTTTGTGACATTTTATGAAATTTGAAAACATCAGTACAAAAATGCCAAAAAAGTGGCCAAAGCCAGGTTGAAGTGCAGGGCCACAAGTAAAATTGAAAGTCAACCTCTCAGCAAATGAAACTGTCAAATTGCTCAAGGTCAAATTTCAAGCTACCACCTGTATAATAATAATGCTTTGGGAAATTTTCAAAACATGTGGTTTGATATATATATATTTTTTTTTTGGTGTGATAATCACACAGGGGTTCAGATTTGGCAGCCAAACCTTACCTGTTCAGAAACAAGACCTTGTTGCTGGTCCATGGGTCTGGTGACAGCAATGTGCACATAGAAAACACTATGGCTCTGGTGGCAAGTCTGCAGACAGATGGTATCCTGTTTCGCCAGCAGTTCTACCCTGATGAACCCCATGACTTCTCCAACTCCAGGAACCACCTGTTTAGGACTTTGCTGGACTTTTGGCTTGGGGACTGCTTTGGGTACCCTGACCAGCAGTAGTATAGTAATGAGCCACACCAGCTGTACTGTTATTGAGCTCTTTGCTTTTCCTTTTTCAGTGCATACAATTATCCAAGAACTTTTCTTACATCAATTTTAGGGTTGGAAATATATGATTCCTGTAATTTAACCTGAAATGCATTTGCAATTTTATTGCAAAATGTCCCTATGTTGAGTCAATGTCCTCATGTTGGGACGTTTTTATGATTTTTTAATGGTAAATCAAGTGTCCCTAGGTCAAATCGTCTGCAGGTCAAGGTGTCCGCATGTGGGGGTCTCACTGTACATGGCAAGAGACTTTTTTCATGTGTAAAAATGTTACGGGAGATCTTCAATGATGTTTTTCTGGATCTCAAAGGCAAGATGAAATGATGAATAGGTCTGAAGCCCAGGAAGGTCACATAAACCCCAGATATGTGCCAATAATAGCTGACAAGGGAAGCATGCTGTGAGACCCATTGAGATGTGCAACTAATAGCCGTCAGAGCAGGTTCTCACATGAGGTTCATAATACTTCATGAATTCAGATTTCCCTTGAAATTTTAAACTGGAAAAGGAAGGTTAAATGCTTAGAAGTGCAATTTGAGCTCCACAGATCATTGTTGAATTCCTTGATGCTTCAAGATGCGGAATTCATTACTTCTTAGACTCTGCCCATATATCTTCAAACCACTCCCTGAGGATTCATCCATAATTAAATGGGACCCAGGAGAATAGGTCCAGTGGGAACTGGGTAGAAATGGAACTTGCATCAATTAGTTCCCATCAGAGGAAATGGGGCAAGTTTATATGAACCAAATTATGCATACTAGGTTGTTCTTCCAAATACATATTGGAATGGCTGTAAGTCAGATTTCAAGGGATCAGCAAAAAGTTTGACTTAGGGAGGTTTCAACTTAGAGAGGTTTTGAATTATAGATGTTTGAGATGCAGTACAAAGCCATGTTCTTCTGGGCAACGTAAAACTTGCCAAAAATTGTAAATGGTGATATTCTGGGGCTTAAATTGTTTCTTAAATGAGTTGAAAGGATGCAGAACTTGGAGTCAGGGGTCCATTTACCCCATTAAGCCTTTCTCTTCGTTTCAAAAGTCATCAATTTCTGTTTGTACTGCCTTTTTCTTTCATGTGTTATGAAAATGATAGCCAACAGGCCACAGAAAATCCAACTTATAGAGGTCTGAGGGGAAAAGCCTGTGACTTGTGGAGGTTTTTACTGTAATGTTTTTTTAAGGGATGCAGGCAGGGACCTGAAAAAAATTTGACTTAAGGGGTATTTGACTTAGGGAGGCTTGGGTTATCAAGGTTCACCTGCAGTAGAAACTTATGTCTAATATACCAAATATTTGAGAGAAAGACAAGCTTTTGTAACCCTTCTGTGGCAGCAGGCTCTTTCCCATCACAAGACAAAGATTCCATATATACAGTATTGAGAGACTGTCCAGATGTCAGGGTAGAATTCTTGAGTTCAAAGTGTTTATAAATCATATCATCCACAATTTTTGGTACTTTTGCACAGTACGGTACAGTATTTCCATCCAGTATTGTGTCCCCATTTTTTTCAAGAATAAATTACCCATTCTCCAAAAAAGTTAAACGTCTTGTTTTAAATATTTTTTTTTACCACAAGAAAATTGATTCCTTTGCTGAAGCGCATTTTTTGGAGACGATTTACTTTTTGCTGTCAAATGCAATGCCTTCCTTGAAACTTTTTTGTGCAAATTTTATAATCATCAGGAATAAACGTTTCACTATTGTAGATCCAGTATAATGGATGTTCCATTATTACTATATTTCGTTCTGCAAGGCACCATTTTGACATTCTTTTTCAGCATGAAGCCAATAATTTCTTTCTTTTTTTTAAACAATAATGTAATCAATAATGAGAACAATAATGTTGGCAAGGAAAAGTCCCCAATTGTCAAGACCGATTAAGGTGATAATCTCTTCATTATGATATAAATTATACCTTTGACAGTCACACTTTCAGAATAAGCTGATATTCCAGGAATGAGCAGAATATGTCAGGAAGCTTTTCTAATAAGTTTTCCACCCATCACCCATGGTCATATCAGCTTTCAGGAGCTTTCTGGAGTGTCTTTTATACTGTATGTCTCAGAGTGAAGTGGAAACCTGAGTGAGTATGAAGAGTTATATGGATTCCCAGCCATAAATGTGGAACAGAGACAACAAGGATCAGGTTCCAGGAACCCTCACCAGGGATCTTTCATGTTTTCGCCACAAAAAAAAATACCATGGGGTTTGTGTGCACTCCATTATGAAAGGATTATTCAAGTGATACCCTCATTCCTGTCCTTGACATTTGGAATGATATTGCTAGATGGAAGGGTATATAGCGAGTTATTTTAGCTTCATTTCATTGCGCAGATTGATCAGAAGGAACTCAGAATGGAACCTGTAATTCATAATAAATTTATAAATTAATTGTAATTAAAATCATGTGGGCATTCACTTCCCAAGCATAGCATCAATTAAGTGAATATCTTGTCTTTTTGAGAGGAAACTCATAATTTAAATAATTTTCAAAAATATCCCATGATCTCATGAATTTGATTCTCTATCAGGATTATATATATAATAATCAGTCATGATGGGAGCAGAAAACATAAAGAGAAAATTAAATCATGAAAATAACCTAGAAAAAATATTAAAATAAACAGCACCAAGATCTAATTAAGCTGAGATAAATTATTAGATGATGTTTCAATAATCATGTCGAGGAGTAGGACAAAATAAACTTTAAGATGAAAAGCGTACTGTATAACAAACCAAATATATTGAATATTTTGTTCACCAACACTCTGCCAGGAATCAAACCAAAAATACTCTACTTTAAGTCAAATTTATGAATTAAATAGTTATCTTATTAATATTTGAATTGTGTGAAAAGTTACAGATTTCGGATCTCCTTGTCTTTTTCATTCACGGAGTTTCTTCAATTCAATAATGTACAGTCTTGATTTGCAGTTCTCTAATAGTATAACAAATTTATTTTTGCCAGAATATTTCAGCTATGACAGTACAGTAATTATTTGAACCACTTCTGATTCGGTGACTTGATCCAGTGTTCTCATAAGGTTGCAGGAGAATGAAGCAAGTATCACAAAATTTAGAGGTGAACTGCCCAAAAATTTGAAAAGAAAGTTGCTCCATTTGATTAAAATTACCGTGACCTAAAACCATGATGCATTCACGGAGTTCTTTCGCAATGAATAGATTATCGGTCAGTCATTAGTTTATGTCTAAATTACCAAATAGATGTTTTGATTTAGATTGGATTTGTAGCAATCAGATTGGCAATAAATAACTGCCGACATACGAGAAATCGCGATGGGGAATCTTATAAGCTTTTTCTTTGTCTTTGGGGACACACTCGAGACACCTAGGATGAATATGATGGGAAAAGTAGCGAGTTTAGTTTTTTGTAAGAAAGATGTCGCTCTTCTCATCGGAAAAAACCATTGGCGCCTGCATCCGTTTTCTTCGCGCCTATGAAGGGTTTTTGAATTCGAACAGTTTCACAGCAAAATTATCTACTGGCTTCCAAAACGTTTGGACCCAACACAAAACAGATCAAGACGAAAAGCTGTATATATGTTCAACATCGGATCAAGCGCACGATCAAGAAATTTGAATCCCCCAACAGACTGGATTAGAATTAAACCATTACAGTAATTTTTTTTTAGTACATTCTTCTACAGTATTGTACAGTAATTTAATCGATTCCAGGTTGAAATTCGGGAGGCATACCCCAGTAATATTGTTCGCCATTTTCCGCTGTTGCTATCGCGTCATCTCTTCAATCAAATGCCGAGCATTGTTTTTAATGATTTAGTAGATGTCGCTTTTCGGCTACATCCAACCCAATTCGAGAAAATTCGATGGACGGTAACATGAATCTGAGTCCAGTAAACTACAGCATTCTTATGGATAACCAGTTTCTGGGCAATCAGAAGACTCTAAAACTCAAATTCTATGCAAACAAATATATTAGTAAAAATAACTGAAGTCCTCTCTCTTGAACTCCGACCCGTAAACTTGTGACAAGTGGAAAACGCTGAGTTGTTGGGACTGAATAAAATAAAAAATATGCTTTTTTTCAAAAACTTCATGCCTGTATCATCCAGCAAGTTGAGGCTGATCGTTATTCTTGAATATTGCTTGACAAACGGATCCAACTCTATTTTCCGCTGCAGCCACATCATGGTCTCATAGTCAACTGTGACATTAATTTAGGCATTACAACTTTATGGAATTTATTTGAACATGTTGTAATTATTTCGAATCTCGAAATCAGCGTTGTGTCATGACCTGAGAAAAAAATTATCGTGCTATTTTAAAAAAAAAGTCTCTATCTATGGAACAGAATTTCGAGCAGTTCTCTGATGGTACAAAAATTTTGTTATTTCTTAAATTCAGACAAAAATACCAGCAAAGATCTCATTTGTCAATATTGAGTGCAGTTATTTGATTAAAATAAGCTTAACAGCATTCGAGGAAACTGTATGAGATTTATGCAGCGCAAATCGGAAAAAAGAAAATTGCACAATATATTACTGAATATAGAATGCTCAAGCTTTCATATTTCCAAGCACAGTATTCTTCCCTTTTAATTCAATTTTTCTTAGAAATTAACGATGTTTTGGAAAGACGATTAGCCTCAGTATTCCTCCATGACACGTGAAGACTCTTCTTGTTGCTTCTTCTCTTCCAGGAATTGGAAATGAAAATAATAAAAAATTTAGCTGCGGTCGCTGACTTCAAATGTTTCCTGGGTTTATTCACCCTTTCCTTCATCTTACAGTGAGTTCAAAGTTTGGGTCTCATTTTCGCTGAAAATTTGTATGACGAGACTCCTCATATTCAAAAAGAATTAAAGACGGATACAAACTAGCTGCTTGTGATATATGATCGTACTTGGGATATTTAAACATCCCAACATGGAGATATTGTTAAATATTTTACAGATGAGGCAAACATGAATGTTTCAATTGAACTCATGTCTGAATTGAACTTTTCAAAGAAGGTGAGGAATAAACGCCACACAAAAGTTCAAAGACATCAAGAAATTCAGATATTTAATCCTTTATGTGTTAACTATTATTTTTCTGTATACAGTACTGTAAGACCCAAAGGTGCAGACATAATTGGTGCATCAAGAGTGTCCCAAAGTCAAAATGTCGCTAAGTTGAGTCTTGTTTTCCCTTAGACTTACATTATATAATTTTTGATTGGTGTTTCATGGAAGAAATATTCATCAGAATTTTATGAAAAAAATGGAAACAATTGTCTGCCAATTGAAACTGATTCAATCAATGAATGAATGAATGAACAGAATGAACAGAACACTTTATTTGCCGCTTTTCAGCATTCACAAGGCACAACCAAGACTCAATCAATATCTTTCAATTCAATTAACTCAACAGGGATATTTGGAGCATTGATTACAGTACCTCTGTACAGTACATTGAAATGTTGGTATTTGCTATTTAAAAAAAAATCAAGTCAAGAATGGGGAAATAAGGAAGTCCATTTATGCTGGAGGTAATTTTTTCAACTAGCAAAATGGATGGTAAAATGACTATAGAGAAATGCCAAAGAACTTTTCTTACATATAGATCTTACAGTTGGAAATATTTGCTTCTTTCAATTTGGCCTGAAACTTATTTGCAATTTTAGGGCACATAATATCCACATGTTGGGTCAGTGTCCACATGTTAGGCATTTTTGTGCATTTTTTTTATTGGAAAATAAATGCTTGTTTGTGGAATGGTCTGCATGTCAAAGGTGTCTGCATATGTGCGGGTTTCACTGTATTATGAAGTAGAGTGGCTGGACTGAGACCAAAGCCCAATATTTTTCACTGTTCCATGTGTAAAGAAAACACAGTTACACTTGACTTGACCTCACCATTGGGGGATTTCCGGTGACGCACGGGAATTCCACCAACTTCCGGGAATATGGCAAAGCCCAAATGCATTCAACCTTCCACATTTAAATAATTGCATCGGAGGGATGATCAAACACTTTCCCCGATTTTTTTTTGTACTGTAACACAATAAACTACTGTACAATGAATCCTTGAACAATGAACTCCCTAAGCAAGGAACAAATTACGTAATGAACCCGGGTTCAGCCGCCATTTCACCTTCAACATTGAACTTGACTTGAGGAACAATCCATAGTTTCAATAAATGGAGGAGAGAAAATCCTAAAATTGTTTTTCTTGTACAATTCTGAGAATAGAAAACTTTTTTACATTTTCAGCACAATTTATGAATTGTATTCCATTTTGGGAAACAAAAAGTGGAACACGAAGTAATTCCAATGGCAAATTAAAATCCTGAACTTCTTTACACTTTTGCTGTGCTTCTAATCTTGATATTTTCATCATTTTCAATTTAACCCTTGGACAACAGAGGGTTCTTGTCCATCCTGCAGCAAAGTCAAGATTTTGAGGGGGGTGTTTCAGTTTGATCCAAGTTCACTTAAATGCCTTCAGGTGGCCAATGCCCAATAAGTTGGGGAAAATCCATGGGCAGAAAATCCCTTTTTCTCAGAAAATCTATAATGTTGAACCTTTGCTGGGAATGCATGAGAAAATGTCACCCAGTAAGGAATTCTTTTTTATTTTTGAGGCAAATTTTCTTCAGGATTATTAAGAAATATGGGACATCTTCCCAACTTAAGCCTTGGTTCAAAAATCAGATTTTTTTTTATTTGCAAAGCTCATGGGAACAAAATTTGGCAAAAAATCCCAAATTTTCCACTCAAAGGTTAAAACTCATTGATTATCAATGTTCCATTTTTATTCTTATCTGCCTGTTTTGGAATTTTTCATTCTGATTTTCTTTCTTGTCTTTTAAGACCTTGGATGTGTGCAGTTTTAATTTGAAACAAACTTACGTATTACCAGGCAATAATTTTGAAAATCTTGTTATAACCAATTCTTCAATATAACAAACTTTGTCTGAATTCCCCAAAAGTTTGTTGTAACAAGCTTTTACTGTAATCCAAAACTGCTACAGTTCAGGTGGTACCTCACAATTTTTCCTCCCACATTTGGACTGTCCTGTAATTTGATGGTCAAATTTGGGTACTTTCCTGCTTTCTCAATACCTACTTTCTGTGTACCTACCAGAAACTGTGAATTTCATTTTCTGCATTCTGCTGAAACTGATTTTGGGAGGCTGTTAGGTGAAGTTAGGTTGGATCAGGTTATGTTAGTTACAAATACCTTTCAATTAACATAACCTGACCTAACCTAACCTAACAAATACTGAATTCACAAGACAAAGAAAAATGGGTACGAGATAACAGGAAAGTGCCCAAATTTGCACAGAGGTTGGCTTGCAATTTGCATTACAATTTGATCTGATTTTCCCATCTTTTTGTATTTTTGTATTTGTATTTTGAATTTTCTAGAGTTGTCTTGCAATGTGACTGATTCACAATTTAACCCTAGTTCTGGAGCAGATAAGGGTCAAATTGCAAGATACCATCTGTTTTTGTTATGCAAATATAGCCAACCTTGAAATTATTCACCACCAGCTGTTCGTGACGCCATTTCAAGGTAGCATTATATTCCGACAGCTTTCGAAAATATGCGTGATGTTCAGAACTTGGCTACCTGGAAACCACCATGACCGTCACGATTATAATTCGGAATTTCATCAACTATATATACTGCGTACCTTTCCGGGAAAACGAAAACATTCCAGCGGGCATTACTCCCCTCTGAATGGTTCTTTCTTGATGGGCATTTTTCAAACTGCGTCAAACTGAAGAAAAAAAATAATAATGCTGCTTTTTCTGGAGACTCGATTAAAATGCTCCTGGGATATATTGTGCTGGGAGGAATGGGCATGAAAATCTTGAACCCACCTAACTATACATGAGACTTGACCTGAGTAGATTTGTTACATGAATATCATCAGGCAAATAATTTTTTTTAGGAAAAAGGTCACTAAATCATGAATTTCAAAAACTAAACTTGAATGGATCTTTGCCATAAGACTTTCCAGACAAAAACATTGTAAGTAACCTTCTTACATCCTTGCTACAACAGCAGCTTCCTTTCCTTCTATAGCAAAGTGGAAAATTTGCTGACAATACCTACAACAATTTCTTCAATTTTTATTATTTCAGCCAATCAGAGGCTAGGAAATCTATCAGAATATTCAGGAAGTTTCTGGTCAAATCACCTGACAAGACAATTACAAGGAAATAATGAAATATCTCTTTATTTTGAATTTATAAGCAGTCTATCCTGAACTCTTAAGGACTATCTCTTCTTTTTTTTTACTGATTCATGCAAAAATCTATGATGTAAATTGGTTTTTTTCAAATCCAGTGTTTGTATTTATTGTGTGTATGAATTTACTATATTGGATCAATTTAATTCTTGATTTTCTTCAGTGAAAATATGATTGAAAAATAGGAATATATATTCAAGGTGGCCCCCTTGAATATGTGTTCTTGGCCTCAAAAGGAAGGTTGCTTATGTTTTTATTTCCTTTTGTGAGAATTGGCAGTTTTGGAACAAAACACAAAAAATCATTGTATTCAAGTTTCTTTCATTTTTTTCCTAACAATAAAATGGCAGTCCACCCAACTCAAAGCCTCCTGAAATCTTTTTTTTTTTTTTTGGTCCCTTGGAATTAATATTCTATACAAGACACCATTGCTTGACTCACCTCCACAAAATGGGGGGAAGCTTTAGACTTGTATAGAACACTTCATATTACAAGGCAGTTTTGGGTCAAAAACGATCATTAATTTCAACTTCCTTTCATTTTTCTTTTTCTTTAAGCCAAAAATGGCATTTCACCTTCTGTACCTCAAAACTTAGCTAAATCAATATTTTTTTCTTTGGCTGGTCCCATAGATTTCAACTTGTATACAATAAGACACCATTGCTTGATGACTCACCTCCACAAAATGGGGGGGGGGAGTTTTAGACTTTTAAAACACTCCATATTACAAGGTAGCTTTGGGTCGAAAACAATCATTAATTTCAACTTCCTTTTATTTTTTTGTTTAAGTCAAAAGATGGCCTTACACCTTCTGTACCTCAAAACCTGGCTAAATCAATATTATTATTTTGCTGGTCCCGTGGAATTCAACTTGTATACAATAAGACACCATTGCTTGACTCACCTCCACAAAATGGGGGGGGGGGAATTTTAGACTTTTAAAACACTCCATATTACAAGGCAGTTTTGGGTCAAAAACAATCCTTAATTTAAACTTCCAATCATTTTTCTTTTTCTTTTTTGTGTAAGTCAAAATGGCCTTCACCTTCTGTACCTCAAAACTTAGCTAAATCAATGTTTTTCTTTCACTGGTCCCATGGAATTCAACTTGTATACAATAAAACACCATTGCTTGACTCACCTCCACAAAATGAGGGGGGGGGGGGGAGTTTTAGACTTTTAGAACACTTCATATTACAAGGCAATTTTGGGTCAAAAAACAATCATTAATTTCAACTTCCTTTTATTTTTATTTTTTGTTTAAGTCAAAAAATGGCCTTTCACCTTCTGCTGTGCCTCAAAACTTTGCTAAATCAATATTTTTCTTTGGCTGGTCCCATAGATTTCAACTTGTATACAATAAGACACTATTGCTTGACTCACCTCCACAAAATGGGGGGGGGGGGGTTTAGACTTTTAAAACACTCCATATTACAAGGTAGCTTTGGGTCAAAAACAATCATTAATTTCAACTTCCTTTCATATATCTTTTTTGTTTAAGCCAAAAATGGCCTTTCACCTTCTGTGCCTCAAAACCAGGCTAAATCAATATTTTTATTTTGCTGGTCCCGTGGAATTCAACTTGTATATACAATAAGACACCATTGCTTGACTCACCTCCACAAAATGGGGGGGGGAGTTTTAGACTTGTTGTAGAGCACTTCTGCGACGCTAAGTGTGTGCATCCGGTCTTCCTTTGTGTGGTCTGCATGCCCAGGATATTCCCTGGTGTACCGTTTGGAATTATGATGGATATGCGGTTCGTTGAACTTCTGGTGCAGATGCGTGAAGGTGTGCGCGGGACACACGGCGTTCAGTGTCTTCCGGGGCTCGGAACATTGCGCTTCAAGAAAATCCTTCTTCGTTTTCCAGGGAATAAAAAAATTATAATAATAATAATAAGAGTCATCACGGGGGGGAAGAGAACAGAAAAGAATGAAGTGCTTTCGATCAGCGGTGCTGATTGTGATGGGAGTAGTCATGGGGGCACTGATGGGAGCAGCACAGACAGGAATAGAGGACCCCATAAAGGAATTGTTACCCCCTCCAGCAGAACCAACATCTACTAATGCTGATTTACCTTCTCCTGATGGTGAGATTATTACCCTGTGTGAATTTAGGCTTATCTTGTGTGATTTTTGGCAGAAAAAAAGGGATTATAGCCTGTCATTGAAGGGATTATTTCTGGTACATATTTTACACATATTGCTCTTTTTTTATCAGTGGCCAGAATATGTTCACTAATCTTGTTTAGCTTGGGCTGCTTGGCTAGATTGTGAATTTTGGCTTATCCTGTTGGGGAGTGAGTTGGGCACCTGTAAATATTAATTATAATAATTCCCCCTGCACTGCTGCAACCCAAGAACTGGTCCTTAGCATCAGCCACCAGCACCAAAAAACGAGTCCCAAAGGAATTGTAGGACAATGCGCAGCATTGTCTTTGATTCCAACAAAATCAGCCAATCAGAGGCCAATATTTTGCCCACAAGGAAAACCACTTTTCCTTCTCTTTCTTCTGTCTCCAAAAACATGTAACAATGAATTCCANAATCAGAGGCCAATATTTTGCCCACAAGGAAAACCACTTTTCCTTCTCTTTCTTCTGTCTCCAAAAACATGTAACAATGAATTCCATTCCACTGCCAATTCTTGAAGTGTGAAGAGCTCATCTTAAGACATCCGATTTTATTATTGTGTTGTTTGAAATGTGTGTGCAAGGTCCAAAATTCTTTGAGTTGCATTATTCTTTGGGACATTATTAATTATTCAATTCTTTTGGGTCCTCTACAAGTAGTAGAGCATCCGCAGTGCAGACAAAAATACAAAAAAAATAGAAAAATGATTGCAGAAGTGGGATTTGAACCCACGCCTGCAGAACCAGACTGTGACCTGAACACAGCGCCTTAGACCACTCAGCCATCCTGAAAATTTAATGTACTGGATACTTTTTGTTTTCATTCAATAAACAAACAGTAAACAAACAGGCCACAGACACACGTTACACAACGTCCTTATTATTCCCCCCCCCCCCCAGACCCCTGTAGGATCCTACTGGTCGTTCCTCCCACTGCGGATGTTAAAGAGGCTCCCAGGCTGATTGCTGTGTTTCATTTGAAATTCTCTCATTTTCTTTGTTAGGACTTCTTAGTCTCTAACATATCCTGTTTGAATGTTGGCTTATCCTGCTTAAATTTTGGCCATAAAAAAGGGTTTATAGCCTGTCCTAGAAGGGACCGTTTCTGGTACATATTTTACACATATTGCTCTTTTTCATCAATGGCCAGAATACAGTATGTTCACTAATCTTGTTCAGCTTGGCTAGATTTTTTTCCTGGAATAAAGCACCGATTCCTTGAAATCTTCTCCTTCACAGCAATTCAAATGACACAGTGGAAATTGGGCGGGGTTCTAAAAAAAACAAATTCGCTTCAAGCAATAATTCCTTGTAACGAGATTCCCTTGTATATGATGGGCTCTTTATTTCTGCAGATGATGAGGCCTCCAACGAAACCAAGAATGTGTGTTCGTTGCCTCCATTGTTACCCGAGTTCGAGAATAAAACCTGTTTGGAGCCATCTGCAAAGTACACCTACGACCCATTGATTGGGAAATGTACTCAGTACACGTACTCGGGATGTGGGAGGTCTCAGAATTTATTCGATACTGAAAACGAGTGCAAACGTATTTGCATGAGAAAACGTGAGTAATTCAAGCATGCTTCCGCGGAAATTTCGTGTGTTGTCATCATCAGCAATGATATGAACATTTTTCTTGGCGGAAATATTTTACGAAAGCTCATTTGTTTCGATAATTTTTTTTATTGTACACGGAATAATGGCTAGTTTAAAATATTTCTTGCAGATGTAAGGAAAATATTTATCAGACGAAAAAAGTAATTGTTTTATTTCGATAAATATTTGACGCCTCTCTTTTGCTTTCGCGTAATAATTACTGTGCGATTTTTAAAGTTGACAAATTTTATCGTAATGAATAATTTTTGTACAATATACAGAAATCTGGGCCTAAAATAATTCCATGATCATGAGGCTTCGGGTCTCGTTGATTTTAATTCCAGCTCCAAGAAGAAATTTGTTGGAAGAAATTAATTGAATTTTTGTAAATGGAATCATTTCCACGTGCATGTTTTCATTATGCCAGAAAATTAAAATTAAAAAAAGGGATTTCGCCATGATTTAAATATGTCTTCCATCTCTTCGTCACCCCCTTTCAAATATTATCAGACAATTTTGGGAAAAGTCTCACGCAAAAGTGGAACACTTGTCTGAATAATGGTGAAAATTTTGATTGGCTGATTCTTTTAGTAATTTTAATCCTCGAGTAACTGGTACAAGTTTTTTTACTGATTTTTTTACAGCGCGAGGGTAGTTAAAATTTCTCTTGACGACTCATTGTTCCCTGTGAAGCTTGATTTAAGCATGATTGTTGATTTTGTCGATTTTTCAGAATGTCGTAGGTTGGTGAAATACAAAAGTAATAATGATTTAGTGAGGTTCCATGCAAATTTTTTTGTTACAGACATATTTTTACTGCGAAATATAAATTAATTCCATGCGTCCATCCTTTTTTTCTACCTCTTTGAATATTGAAACAGTGTTTTAAATTTGGGGGAAATTTGATACGGGTTTCCTGAGTGTCTTTGGATGATTGGAGAGAATGCAGTCATGTTAACGTTTTCTTTCTTTCAAAATTTAAGATGTACAATATTTTTCTAGCCAGAATTTTCTTCATTCATTGTATCATTTAATTTGCTTAGTATATTACAGCTGACCCTCTTCAAGTCAAATTTCAAGGGACCAGCAGAAAATTTGACTTTGGAAGGTTTTTGATTTTGGGAGGTTTTGCATTATAGAAAGGAATCGAGTTATATGGAAGCAAGCATTTTTGTTGTGGGAAAGATAGAAGAATTGCAGGAAATTGTAAATGGTGATATTCTGGGTCTTAAACTAATTCTTGAACGAGCTGACAGGAAGCTGAACTTGGGAGCAGGGGTTCATTTGCCAAATTAGTCTTTCACTTCCATTCAAAATAAATCAGAAACAATTACATTTTTATTGCTTTTATCTTGCTTTTGTCAAGTAAAAAAAAATCAGAAAATTACAGTCATGGAAGTCTGAGAAGCCTTCTGAGTTAGAGCGGTTTTTAGTGCATTGTTTTTCTAAGTAGAATTCAGACAGGGACTTGAAAACAATTTCATCTTATGGAGGTAGTTGACTTAGAGAGGTTCAAGTTATCAAGGTTCAACTTTCCCACAGTAGTACTTGATTTCTTGCAGAATTTGAACATTGCAGCCATTTTATCTTGATGCAGGTGTGGATGAACCAAGTGCTGATGACTGTCTTCTGGTCTGTCCAAGTAAGTTTGATCCATTGTGTGCATCCAACAACGTCACATATGCCAATGACTGCGAAATGCGAGCTGCTGCTTGTCGGGAAAAGATGAATCTTACAGTCCAGTATGCTGCAGTCTGTGGAGGTAATATATTTGCCATTTACTTTCTGACAAGTGCCTTAATTTTAATTCCAAACTGCATGTATATACAGGGTGGACCAAAAAAGTTCACCAATTATTCTGGACTTACAGTAGCTTATTGGTACTCAGCAAATTAAGCTGTGGTAATGGAAAAAGAACCAAATGAAATTGTGTTCAATTCCCTTTCAAATTTTATTTTGTTTTTATGGTCCCAAGTACCACAGCATGGTAACAATGACCATTTAAATGAATACTTTCGCACAAAACTTTTCAGGCAACGCCGTCTTGCTATTTTAGGGATGATTGGGTGCAAGACATTAATTTAACCAGCAAAATTCATGCTGGCCTCAAGAGGGTACACATATTCCAAAAATTTGGGAGATGGGGTGAGAATAGAGTGAAAAAATTCAACAGTGGGATTTTGCTCCTTTCCCAAATCCCAATGCAAGATTGCTGAGTGCCAGACTCATGGCTCCTGTGACCCAAATCAAAAGTGCACAGTATTGCAACATGTGTGCTTGTGTTTTGCCTTTTATATGTATTCTCATAACAAATGGGAAGATTCTATTTTTTTCTAGATGTCTATATATGTATTCTCAGTATACTCCAAAGTAAAAAAAAAGCCTTTTCATTTAATGTTTGGAGGACTTTTTCCAATTTTTTTCTCCAAAACATGAGACTTATGTGATTATAAAATGTTCTGTAGATGATTATACTGTATTGTAAAATGCAATCCAATGAGCAAATTTTCCCCCATTTGAATACAGTCTGTGAATTAATCACATTTGCATCTTGGTGTGCAACTGCATGAAAGACATGCAGATAAGCTGTATTTGTCAGGAATAAACCCAACAAATAACGAATCTTAGTTTTTAAAGAATCTTGTGATGATGAGATAGATTGATTTTAAGAGTAAAACACAAGAATTCGGTCAGGCTGCGACCGGGGTGAGATCACCCTATTATAAGGTTGATATATTCGAAGATTTGGTTGACACTTGATGAAATTGCTCGCAAAATCTCGGAGTAACCGCACACACAAATGCAGAAGCTAGACTGTGTTGAACATTATGAGTTTTCGGAACAAGAAAGCAGTCCTTCATGGACGAGATTTGGCAACAGGATTAGTAGAGAAATGTAGCCTTGGAGGCTTCCGTAAGTTACGTGAGAACCGAGGTTTTCCAAGGTTCTCACAGAAAGTGGAATTTGTCACCAAGGACAAGAATTTGGGTTCTCAAATTAACTTGCTAAAAATAGAACTAAAAAATTTGCAACAGTATTCAGTAGGGAAGTTTTTGGGATATATTTACAAGGTTTCAAATTTTTATAAATTACATTTCATACACCCATTGGTTTAAAACAAAATGGAAAGTTGAATAAAAAGAATCTTTGCACTGCACACAGAAAATGATTGTTTCATGTGGCAGCCAAATCTGTTCTGAGAGGAAAAATTTTTTCAATTAATTTGCTTCTTTTTTTTTAGAGAAACCCACAATTTCTCCACAATCAGACACTCCAATTGTGTCATTGGAAAACAACGTGTCTAGAAACATCAGCCGGGTTTGCACCTTGCCTCCTTTGGTTCCTGGATTTGATAGAACTTGTTTTGCTGCCCTGCCCAGATGGACATTTGATGTTACCATTGGGACATGTGTTGGTTACACATATGGTGGTTGTGGAGGATCTGAAAACTTGTTCAGAACTGAAGAACAATGCAAGGCTCTTTGCCCTGACTATCCTGGAGTTTCTAGTGAGTATATTTTCTCATTGGGAAACTAGATATTTGTTCTGGACAAGAGTTTGTCAATTGCATAAATCCAATACTTTTCTGTAGGCATGAATCAGGGAAATAATTTTTTTTCTGCACTCAAAGATGACTGAAAGAGTCAAATGATGGATGATCCCTTTGTTGATTTTAAGCTGCCTTGGTTTCTTTCTCAAAATTGTTGCACAGAATGGCATAGAATTTCATGTAATGTTTGGGAGAAATTAGCAAAATCAGAACTGCCTTTTAGTACAAAAAAAAAGTTGTCTTTCTCGCCCTTAGGTAGCCATGGGTTGATTTCCTTACCACGGCAGAGTGGAGATATTTCTGCCAACAGGTTCATTTTTGTTTGACTGAAGGTCACCAAAACATAGCCTTTATTGTCCAAGTAACCCAATTCCAGAAAAATATAAGAAAGTCCCTCAATCATAATCCTACAAGAGGAATGCTGGGGGAAGTGCCAATCAGTAGAGAATATTTTTGTGCAGAATTTTTTCACAAATATTTGAAAAATGGGCTTTTTCTTTTTTCTGTTCTGTTGATCTGGCTNTTAAGTATATTTGTAACTAGTAAAGTTACCTAACTTTGCCTAACTGCCCCCCAAAATCAGGTTAGGACAGGTTATGTTAATTGAAAGATATTTGTAACTAGCACAACCTGACCTAACCTAACTTTATGTTAATTGAAAGATATTTGTAACTAGCATAACCTGACCTAACCTAACTTTACCTAACTGCCTCCCAAAATCAGGTTAGGTCAGGTTATGCTAGTTACAAATATATTTCTATTAACATAACCTGACCTAACCTAACTTTACTAGTTACAAATATATTTCCTAACCTGATTTTGGGAGGTGGTTAGGTAAAGTTAGGTTAGGTCATGTTAATCTAGTTTACAAATATATTTCAATTAACATAACCTGACCTAACCTAACTTTACTAGTTAGAAATATATTTCAATTAACATAACCTGACCTAACTAGCATAACCTGACCTAACCTAACTTTACCTAACCGCCTCCCAAAATCAGCATAGGTCAGGTTATGACCTGATCTAACCTAACTTCACCTAACCGCCTCCCAAAATCAGCATAGGTCAGGTTATGCTAGTTACAAATATCTTTCAATTAGCATAAACTGACGTAACCCTACCTAACAAATACTAAATTCACCAGACAAAGAAAAATGGGTACTGAGGTAACAGGAAAGTACCGAGAAATGTATTGATTAAAAAAATTAAAATTAAGCATGGCAGAAAAGTGAGATAACAGGGTGATGCCATCATGCCAGGCTGCTGAGTGAGAAAGTTTAAGCACAAATTTATCTCTACTGTTGAAGTTGAGGTTTTTCTTGTGCATCATATTGTAGTTCTTTGTATGACTAAGTTATGATGGTTCATACCATGTATATAGGTGATGCAATTGGAAATACAAAATTGCCAAAACAATGCCCTAATGTGTGCCCTGCTTTGGAAGACCCAGTTTGTGGTTCAAATGGCATGACGTTTCCAAATGCATGCATTCTTGAAGTCACTGCTTGTTCCAAGAACCAGGATATAAAGTTGCTCCACTTTGGACCTTGTGCAGGTGAGATGTTTTTTATGCCATCATTTCAGTTTTTGCATGATTCCAAAGACTTTCCACATGTTTTTGAGGGTATAGGAATTGGGAATTGTTTGATTTAAATTTGCAAAAATGAGCTCTGAAACGCATGGTGAAGTACGAAAATTTTTCATAGGACGTTTGCATGAATCTTAATTTTGATCATGCTTGAAGTAAAAAAAATATTTCCTTAAATTTGAATGCTGTGCAATTGACAATAATAACTTCAAGCAAATTTTGAAAATACGTCTTTGCTGTGAAGAAAAATTCACCTCAACTATTTGTTCAAAGAAAATGAAACATTTTGAATAATGCAAATATTTGTTGCTGCTGATGGATCCTGAAACTAAACTATTCTCATAGGATGATTGTCATGGAACTGTATCATAATAAATGGACATCTGTCATCCATGGAAGAGTTGGATAATAGTTTTGGAAATTTTGAAAGTTACTGAGTTGCTTAAGAAGGCCCTGGAAAACCTCAAATCAACATTTTATTGTGGCTGATCCTGACATTTTAGCAGCAAATAAATCATTTCAAATTGGAGGCTCAGTTGAAGAAAGAGTCTACTTGCATTTTCTTCATTGATATTGAAATGAATTAAACAGCAAGCTTTATTTTCCACTTTTCAACGTTCACAAGGTTCAAGCAACATTCCTGCATAAACCCCCTCCCCTCCTCACCCACATTCATCCAAACACATTCCATCACATCAGAATGGAAAAAAATAAATAAGATTTTTATGGATATGAAAGGAAAAGAAAATACATGCGAAAATGTACAATTGCACAACTGATGTATATATATACATTTTCTTCCTGTCTGTGATAACAAAAACAAAGTTTCAGTTATAGGAATTGTAACATAAGGCAATTAATGAACCAAAATTAAATCAAAAGGCATTCAGCTTGCGCTCACGGATAAGGTTTAGTTGATTGAACAATTTGGAGAGAACCTTTGATGAGAAATCATACAAAATTTACACCTTATTTTGGTCCTCCATAAGATTTTGCAAATTGTCTTTTCATTGAATTTTCAGAGTCCCAAATCTTTTTGAAGCTCATTTCTGCATGTATAGCTGTGGAATGCTGGGGATAAAAAAAAGAAGTTCCTCTGGTGATGCATTATGTGTTGATAAATATTTTGAAGCACAGCTATAGTAGCATAAAAAATTATCATATTTGAGTTTTAAATTATTTCTTTTGGCATTCTCTTTCCTAGAACAGACTCAGTGGGTTTACAATTCCATAAAAAAGCTCATTTTGCCTAAAATAGACAAGTACCCTCACCTGAACCCTTCCTCTCTTACAATACCCTCCACTTAAAATGAAACCCTTGCTTATAGTGCCACAAAATGTGCTGGGACAAATGGTGGCACTAAACTAAGGTTTTGACTGCATTTTCAAATCTATTCTCTCGTCATTTTCTATAGATCAACCAAGTGGTTTTCCCCTGCTGGTGATTCCATGCCCTGTTGGTTGCCTGCCAGTCAGAGAGCCAGTGTGTGGCTCAGACAATCAAACCTACAGCAACTTGTGCGAAATGCACGTCCAGTCTTGTGGAGCCAATAGCAATAATATCACAGTTCAACACGAAGGACCCTGTGCTTCAAATGCAACAGTGATCGCGCCGAAAGACCGAAAACCAGCCTGCGATTTGCCAATTTACACTGGACCTTGTCACATCAGCGCTTTTCGGAAATGGGGCTTCCACAAAGTAAGTCGTTCAATAATCTAATGAAAAACATGCATCGCATTTTTGATCAGAACCTCACAGTAATTTTTTGCGACTATACATAACTTCCGGCAACAGAAGCAGAAATCTGCTGAGTACTCGTATTTTCTATGGCTATTATATGCTGTATATAAATACCGGTTTTAACTAATTTTCGAATCAGTTATTCATGAATGCTGTTGTTAGTGGATGAGGAGGGTGTGGCGCACAGGCCACAAAGACGAAAATATTTGAATTGCAAATCAATAAAAGTTTAGGAATGAAACTCGGATACCGCCGGGGACACGGCAGGGAACCTATCGATAAGGTCTCCGAAAGAGAAAACTAATAAGTATATTTAAAAAGCACTGAACAACAAGATGTGTACACTTCGCGAGGTGAATATAGGAACTGTAATGTTAATTAGTGATTTCAGGAAAATGGGGATGATTGGAATTCCAGCGTGGAATTCCAACATGGAGTTTTTCCGCGGGGCAGCAGTCGGGGGAAGTGGTTGGTGCCACCTATCCCATACAGAGGGAGCTACATCAAATGACTTCTAAAAATATTCTTCCATATCATACTGTCTTTCAAACAAATTGCTGTATTTTCTGAAGCACCACAACTTTCTCTCAAAATTGAAAGGAAAACAGTTCAAACCTGTGTGTCTCATATTTAGGCAGGTTTGAATTTTTCAAAAAAGTTTTAGAAGTTTGGCATTACATTAAATTGTAACAAGAAATTGGGACCAACTTGTAGGAGAAAAAATATTTTAAGGGAAAAATTGAAAATAACAGTACATGCAGTCAACCCCCTCACAATGGACCTCCTGCACAACAGACTTCATCTGGAGGCAGTTTTCCCTCCCACTCAATGGACTAAATCTGCCTATAACAGACTTCTCTTGGTTTAAAAGTAATGGTAAGAAGTAAACATTTTATTTTTTATAATTGAATTTTCAAAACAGACTTTTCGCACATTTGACTATATACTAGTCTGTGGAAAAAATTAAGTCTGTTGTGTAGGGGTTGACTGTACTTTGATTGCAAGGTTCAATTCATACCCAAATTCAAAATTTGATACTTTTAGTTTTGAAATGTTCAGTTTTTCAGCCACTAAAACTGCTGTATGTGCATCTTGCTTGGGGATCAAGTTCTATAAAAAAAATTACTGGAAAATCCCAGTGCTATAGTCTTACTATAAGAGTGTAGGTGCTGGTAAAGTACTGTACTCAAGTAAATACAGTATTGTAAAGTACAGTATTTCAAATTTAAGATAATGAAAATAGCTTTTCCGCAGTTGGATATTGCAACTTCTTAATTTTCATTTTCATATGATCACATTATGTTATATAGCTGATGAGGATCAAAGAAATCGGGCGAACCCTACAAAAAGTGAAGTTTTGAAAACTTGCGTGGAATTTACCGTTGATGTTAGCTTATTGTGAATTTTTGGAAAATGTAATGAGGGATTTCAGACTAGAATGTTTGTGCCCTCGTTTGAGGAAATATGAGAGATGAATAATCAGCATCAACGTTATTGTTTGCTTTACGCGGATATCACCGTTGGAAATAGGGTCATTATAATATGCGGTCAGAAATGTAATATTTCCATGGGTTTCTTGTCGTGAAGTATCTGGAATAAGTTTCTAAAATACTGTACATACTGTACTGTACATCATTTATTTCGATTTAATTTTCCGCGAGAAACCCTTTTTGATTGCAGGAAACCGGAAGATGCGAGTGGTTTTTCTACGGCGGATGTTTGGGAAATGATAATAGGTTTGACACACCGTACGACTGCCAGATGTCTTGCGGCGGCTCAGAACCACTGACGGGTGAATCTTTTTATTCTGACATTCAACATCAATGATGAAAAATATAATGATATGCCTTTTTATTCGTCGGAACAGATTTTGCGTGCGACCAGCGGAAGTGCACCTGGAAGATTTGGGCTCATTACATCGCCTTGGGTTGCAAACCCGTCTATGAAAACGGAAAGTGTTGCCCCGCGAGATTCGACTGCAGTAAGTGCTCATTTTCAGCTCTTCGTTTGGGTTACGTAACATTAATCTGAAATAGTCAAGCNAAAAAGCACTGAACAACAAGATGTGTACACTTCGCCAGGTGAATATAGGAACTGTAATGTTAATTAGTGATTTCAGGAAAATGGGGATGATTGGAATTCCAGCGTGGAATTCCAACATGGAGTTTTTCCGCGGGGCAGCAGTCGGGGGAAGTGGTTGGCGCCACCTATCCCTTACAGAGGGAGCTACATCAAATGACTTCTAAAAATATTCTTCCATATCATACTGTCTTTCAAACAAATTGCTGTATTTTCTGAAGCACCACAACTTTCTCTCAAAATTGAAAGGAAAACAGTTCAAACCTGTGTGTCTCATATTTAGGCAGGTTTGAATTTTTCAAAAAAGTTTTAGAAGTTTGGCATTACATTAAATTGTAACAAGAAATTGGGACCAACTTTTAGGAGAAAAAATATTTTAAGGGAAAAATTGAAAAGAACAGTACATGCAGTCAACCCCCTCACAATGGAACTCCTGCACAACAGACTTCATCTGGAGGCAGTTTTCCCTCCCACTCAATGGACTAAATCTGCCTATAACAGACTTCTGTTGGTTTAAAATTAATGGTGTAAGAAGTAAACATTTTATTTTTTATAATTGAATTTTCAAAACAGACTTTTCACACATTTGACTATACTAGTCTGTGGAAAAAATTTAGTCTGTTGTGTAGGGGTTGACTGTACTTTGATTGCAAGGTTCAATTCATACCCAAATTCAAAATTTGATACTTTTAGTTTTGAAATGTTCAGTTTTTCAACCACTAAAACTGCTGTATGTGCATCTTGCTTGGGGATCAAGTTCTATAAAAAAATTACTGGAAAATCCCAGTGCTAGTCTAACTAAAAAATTGTAGGTGCTGGTACAGTACTCGAATGAAGACAGTGTTGTATAGTACAGTATTTTCAAATGTAAGATAATGAAAATAGCTTTTCTGCAGTTGGATATAGGTCTTAATTTTCATTTTCATATGATTACAGTATGTTATATAGCTAATGAGGATCAAATAAATCGGACGAACCCTTCAAAAAGTTAAGTTTTATAAAACTGGCGTGGAATTCACCGTTGATATTAGCTTATTGTGAATTTTTGGAAAATATAACGAAAGATTTTAGACTTGAATGTTTGTGCCCTCGTTTGAGGAAATAGGAGAGATGAATCAGCATCAACGTTATTGTTTGCTTTACGCGGATATCACCGTTGGAAATAGGGTCATTGATATGCGGTCAGAAATGTAATATTTCCATGGGTTTCTTGTCGTGAAGTATCTGGAATAAGTTTCTAAAATACTGTACTGTACTGTACATCATTTATTTCGATTTCATTTTCCGCGAGAAACCCTTTTTGATTGCAGGAAACCGGAAGATGCGAGTGGTTTTTCTATGGCGGATGTTTGGGAAATGATAATAGGTTTGACACACCGTACGACTGCCAGATGTCTTGCGGCGGCTCAGAACCACTGACGGGTGAATCTTTTTATTCTGACATTCAACATCAACGATGAAAAATAAGTGATATGCCTTTTTATTCCTCGGAACAGATTTTGCGTGCGACCAGCGGAAGTGCACCTGGAAGATTTGGGCTCATTACATCGCCTTGGGTTGCAAACCCGTCTATGAAAACGGAAAGTGTTGCCCCGCGAGATTCGACTGCAGTAAGTGCTCATTTTCAGCTCTTCGTTTGGGTTACGTAACATTAATCTGAAATAGTCAAGCATAACTGCTCAGAGAATAGTGCAGCGGAGTCCACCTACCGCATCAGTTGTTCATTTGGCTTGCGCGACGAAATTAGTACGACATCTACACGATGGCGAAAAAACAGTCGAATTGTATACTGTATCGTGCCATGGGGCGAACGTATCAATTGGTCAATGGTACTGTATCATGCAGGATATAAAACACAATATGAATAAAATATGAGGATGAAGTTGAAAACGTGTTATATACGCGTTGTGACTGTAAAATAATTTCGAAGCTTCTTCATCGGTTAATTTTCGAACGATAAGAATATTGGTGATGGAGATTATTGGATTTGCAAACGTTGGGGTATAAAACGGGCACCAGCATACCTATACAATGCACTTTTTTCGAGCGCAGTGTAGAAAATGTTTGTACACCTCTCTCTTCATTTCCCAAGGTGAATTCGAAACACGGAATCAACAAGACAATCCCGAGTGCATTTACAAAGGAGAAGCATATCAAATCGGTGAGGCGATTCCTGGAGTCAAGGAACACGATCCTTGTTTCCATAATTGCGTGTGCAAGTTGCATCCGGATTACAGGAACATCGCCGATGTACGTGCGCAAATCTTTTTTCTATGCCTTTTCAATTGTGTCTCGTTCATCGGAGTTCGTTCCGTGGGGAATGCATAATTAAAATATATGAATAAATGTGCATGCAGATTCACTGTGAACAAGCCGAGTGCACTCTTTTCCACGGCGCTTTGGACATCTTTGAAAAATCGTGCAGAAAGATTTATCAACGTGGGAAATGCTGTCCTTCGTCCATTAACTGTGGTGAGTTCTGAAGTTTCAAAACTAAAATTTCGAGTTACAGCGATGGAAAATGTCAGAGGCTGTTCCGTACAGTATATACACTGTAGTTTATAGTTGTGTAGAGTTGTAGACCACACCAAATTAATCAATTTGGGATCAAAAATAAAACGACGAATTGAAACGTCAGGTTCGGTTGGAAAGGTTCGGAATGGGAATTATGAACGAAAAAAATTACGTTTTGTATAATCCGCGATCTCTCAACTCTCATCATGAACACTTCGAATTCACAATTCAATAATAAAGATCCGCAGTCCCATTGCGAACACGTCTGGATGCTAACAACTCAGCCTTCGGAATGACATGACGATAAAATGTCCGCCGGTTAGGACTCTCTGAGCGATTCCCCTGATCGGTCGATCAGGACTAACATTCTCTTCGAGGACTTGAATTGAGTGCGCTGCCCTCTTGCGGGAGCGTATTTTGGAGGTTGGTGACGTCATGAAAGATGTGACGTCACGTATTGCTCGTGTAACGGAATAGCCCAACTCTTTTTCGAAACTTCATGAATGCTCTCTAGAGCTAATAGGATATTATTTCTTGTTGTATGTTTGTAGGAATACCTATTCTTCCACATAAGTGATGAATAATCCTTTTCGATGTTTTTCCTTGGTTGTTTTCGTCTCGCACGCAGCAGAGAATTTCCAATACGGATCGAAGACATTCTTCTGCGAATACGAAGGAAGGAAATATATAGAAGGAGAGCGAATGGATTTGTCGCGTGTTGGGAAGATGTGTTACTGCAACCAGGCCTGGGTGCACGAAGGGGGACCCGTGAGTTCCGCGTGCGAATCCGTTTCCTGCGACTGGGAAATTCTGCATCAGGCGAATTTGCGACGCGGTTGTGCACCAGTATGGAAACGTGGAAACATTTGCCCAACCGATTGGCTTTGTCGTAAGTATACTGTACTGTATCTGTATCATACCCGATGGATATGAAGCGGTACTAAATTCTTCCTCGGTATATTGGACTGTCATCTTGGTATTAAATAAGAGATCACTGGAAATGTATAAATTTTTTTACATAGTAAATTCCAGTATATTTTTCCTTCAAATTAATACTGTACTGTACTGCTTTCTGGGTGAAACCGTGCTGAGAAAGAGCTCGGGTAGAAACCGTAGAATTAACGAAGTCCATGCTTGCGTTTCGATGAGCCATTTTCGAAATTAAATACTGTTCTGTAGATAAGAATGAAAGGACCTTCGTCTCTACATATTCACATTTCAAATCAATAAATAATGATAAAAAAGGAATCCATATCTGGACTACAGTTCTGCAATTCGTTCGAAAAACAATTCAAAAGCGCACGAGCTTAATGTGCAGTGGCGCCTAAAAATTTACACGAGAAGAGAGATACAGTATTTTCAACGATAATTTATTTAATATACAGTAGTCAAAATCAAGCTACAGGAAACCGTCATCCATTGTTCTCCTTAACCAAAATGAATATTTTATATGTGTTCTATACTATCAGCCTAATGTACCACGAAAACCCCACTACCCCTCGTGTATACAACGGAAAGTTATTTGTGGATCGCAATTATACATGTATTACAGTAATGACCAATTATTTCCCGAGAAGGAAAATAGATTTACATCGTCGCAACACGACAGAACAATAATGCTTCTGGTTTTTGTCAGAAGCTTCAATATGGTTCATCGTCCTTTCGATCAGATATGTCGTGCTATGGTTATTCATATACAATCCAGTTGTTTGCTCATTAGCGTTCTTTCGTGAATAGTCTCGATTAGTTTGAACCGACTGAATTTTGAATTTTCAAAAAGTGCGGATTAAAGTATGAGTATATTTGCACTTCCCTTAAATTGAAAAATTTACACATTTTAGACGTGAATGCTTAATTTTTCTCAGTTGTATGAGGTTTAAAAATGTCTATACATTAATCGAATCGTAGGAAGTAGGGTGCAAATGATCCCAAATGAAAGATACACATTATTCCCGAACAGTCTTAGCAACTACTGTATATACACGGCAGAAACTTGTTTGCTACCCCTTTATTGCCGTGTTTCATTTTTTTTTTGCTCAGGAACTTTTTGCAAATTTATGTCACAATTTTCGAATGACTTCGTGGTACAGTATTCTATTCCACTTCATCAGCGCAAGATCGAGGACAGCAAGAAGATGGAAAGAAGGCTGAGGCTCGAGTTGACGTGGTGTACACAGATTCTGAGGCGGACGAAGTTATGGAAGCCTTGTTTGATTCAGATCCATTCTTCGATGAAGAACCCGTGCCTTTCGCACAAACTGGACGTGAGATATATTTCCATTTGTGACAATTGCTCACGAAAAGGCTTTTTTTTTTGAGTAATGAACTGTTTCGCGTGTAGGTTTACTCTCAAGTCTCAACTGGGGAATTTACGCAGTAAGGGTATTTTTAATGTCCTGTGCTGTATTTATTGTACAGTAGCATCTCATAAAATTTCACACTGCTTTTTCTTCGCCTTTTAAATTGAGTAAACGGAATTAGATTGTTTCTATACGGTACTAGAGCTCTTCACGTTATCGGCATCGGCGAAGTTTCTGCTGCTTCGTTTTTGCAGCGAATCCATTGATAATTGACTTTGAAAACCAATTTTGAGAATGGATAAATCCAGTACTTCGTGATGACGACTATGTAAGGATCAAGAAGTTTCTCCCCATATAATGTCAAAGAATCAGCAATCATATGGATGAAAATTTAACGAGAAGCCATGCGCGAATATTCCATCATGATTGATCATTATAATCGTGGAATATTCGCCCGATTTCTCGAGACGATAGGCTTTCATCTTCCTATGATATATACTCTTCGAAATTTCGGTAGAACTTTTCGTTGATCTTCATATTGTCGAAGAGGAGAATTTTCCGGTACTTCGAAGTTGGTGAGGTGCTGATAAGCATCAGACGATTTTTAATTTTTTATTTTAGCGGTGATCGTCGGTCGACAAACTTTGTCCCAATACGGATGCATGTTGGGAACGGAGAAGTTTACCATAGGAGAGAGTTTCAAAGTGGACAAGGATGTGCGAGTGGTGAAATGCACGTGCATTACTCCACCGGGACTCACATGTGAAGAAATTTCCAAGAAGATATTACCCGTGGAAAAGACTCCTCCGGGATTCTCTAATTCGTACCCAATCGCCTCGGACGGGTATGGGTACCATCACCAGCACAAAAGTCACGGTCACAGGAATCACGGCGGCCAAGTTCATCATCATCACCAAAGCGGTCAATATTTTAGATCCGGACCGGTAAGACATTATTCACATGCATTTTTGAGTATGGTCGTGAGTTTCACGACCGTATAGAATTGATCGGATATCTAACACCATCTTCCCGCCGAATGTATGAATTATCCTTGTTATTCTGAAATAACACATTTCAAGTCAATGTCGACGCGCGGAAAATTTCATCAGGGTAATAAAAACTGGCAAGAGCGAGACGCAATTTCTTCCCGAACATATTTGATTTCAAAACATGATTGTATGCCATAAAAACGTTGAGAGGCAGACAGAAAATATTAGAAGCACTGTATACAGTGCATAATATATACCTCGCTCTGTATACATCACAAAATTGCCAATTAAATGAACAGACCTGTTTTTTTCTCTCGGAAAGTCAGTAGAGAATTTGATGCTAACTTGACTAAGAACCTGCGATTCGAAGAAAGATAACATGACAGCAACTTATTGTGAGGACGTGTTTCACGTATATCGTGAAGTTTCAGCAAAACGTGATACAAGTGGGCTTACAGCAGTGCAGTATAATTCGTCAGCTGAAGCTATCGAAGAGAAAATAAGACACGCTTCAAAATTTAGATGATATGATTTTTTTTTCCAGCCGAACGGATTTTTCAACTGGCCTGCACTGACTCCGCGATCGGATCGTTCGAAAACAAATTCACAAGCGGGATGGAAGGCGATGATGAAGTACAAACGCTGACGCAGTGACATTGCTGGTTTTTCTGTATGATTCCAATGCCGAATTGTGCATATTGTACGAGTATTGTTCTCGCAATAAACATGGTATTGTATTTGTATTTCTACTTTTTCCGTTATTTCTCTATACGAAAACCGTCATATTGGTACGCAACGTCGAAACGAACAACGGTAGAATAATGCACCGTGGCGGTTGAATATCGTACTGTGCCTAATACTCGCTCAATTGTGCGGGCTGCCGGCGGGGTGTGGGTCAACAGCTTTTAAGATTCCCAGACTCAGAAGGTTGTAAATTTCCACTCAGCTGTCCGAGGTGATGCGTGATTTCATCCCGCGGAGCTATCCCATTCCGCAATACAGCTTCCCGTTTTCAATGCCGACGCTTACACCCACGTTACACTTATGCAGCTGACATTTGAGCAAAAATTTGCGCAGCGTGCGGCTGACAATTATTTGATTTGGTAAATTGATTTCGTTAGAGGGCCTCAGTCCTGTGATGAAACTTTTATTATATCCCCTTCCCTGTGAGGCCGTCCTCCCAATACAATCCAGAAACTTGTGGAAGTTTCCGGGCAACGTCAATTCTATATTGTAGTGGTGTGACTGTATAGCAGCAGGATATCGGCCGCGCGTGTAAGTCGGTGGTAATCCTAGTTATTACGTATGATTGACTGTGTTACCTATGTTGCGGAGCTGCTGGTGTTCTTCAAATATTTAATATAAATTGCCCGCGTAATCGTTCAGAATGAGTGATGTAGAAGACGGTGAATTGACCGACGGTGACGAGGAGCCTGATTCATATCGCGATGTTGCCGCGAAAGATGTTTCACCGATTTCATTAAGTGACCTTCTGAAGGCTTCGTCAGACGCTGTTGAAGTAACTAGTTACGATCAGGAATTTTCCGAACTTCGGTCCTTGACGAGGGACGTTGCTGTCGTCCGAGGTAAGCGTTGTGATCAGTCAACCGAACACAGGAGTTCATCAACGAAATCCGTCGATAAAAAGGTATCTGTAGACATCGTGAAAGAATTTGAATCTTTCGTGATACGACTTCCCTAATCAAGGGAGCATCCAAGCGTTGTGATCGTCAGCGACGCACACAGGAATATGATCACGATTCGAGCAAGTCGCAACGCGATGGAAGGAAGCGTACCCGGCGGAACTCCAGCTCCGAAAAGCGTAGTTTCTCGGTAGATAAACGGAATCCTGATGAGAACTGGCGTTCTAATCAATCGTCGAGTAATGAATTCTACGACAGCGATCCGAATAGGAATAAGAGCCGCGCAGTTTGCAAGTATTTCCTGAAAGGATTCTGTCGCAGAGTGAGTATAAGTTTTCCAAGGCGTTCGCAAGAAAGCTTATGTGAACCCTTGTATTTCGTGCTCCCGGCATCATTTGTCCCAAGTTTTTTTTTAGCGCTATATTGACGTAGTAATCACGGTTCTGCAGGAAAGTGAATGCCCTTTTTCGCATGATGTCAGCGCTTTGAAACGGGAGGAGTTGTGTCGATTTTACTTGACTACCGGCGGTTGTCGTAAAAGAGACTCTTGCTTGTTCATGCACGAGGAGTTCCCTTGTAAATATTTTCACACTGGTGCCTCATGCTATGCAGGAGGAAATTGCAGATTTTCTCACGAACCTCTGAACGATTTCACGAAGGAATGCTTGGATAAAGTATGAATGCCGTTACAGTATTGATCTCGTGTTCCTCTTGCTCACCTGTTTTGGATCTTCCTTCTTACTAGTGGCTGGAACATTCTTCTGCTCGAAATGCAACGGAGCACAAAACAGAGGCAGCTAACGTTTCGTCGGACAATCGAAGTCAAGCTGTAGATTCTTCTGAACGAGCACGTTGCCCAGATGATTCGTTGATATGATTTCTTATCTTGAACAATGTCTCCTCGAAACTTGTGAACGCCCCTTTTGATATTTTCAGGAGGCTGAAGGTCTGGATTCAGCTGAAGAAATTTTGAATGTTGCCGGACCCGGCTTTTATGTCAGCAACTGCCCCCAGATACTTGTTCTTGAAGAGGATAAGCCACAAGATCTGGACCTTCGTTTCATAGTTGGCGCTCCTCCGAGCAACAGCTTTGGAGCATTCGATGTTGACATGAGACATGGCGTGTTGTTTCCGGGTTTGTAGTAGAAGTTTAATTTGACGTACCCACATCAGCCAGCATCTCATTAATCTAATCTAACCTAAACGGTACATAAAGTGCCTAATTGAAAGTATAATGTGGCGAAGCGAAAACTGCGTATTCCATCAAGCAGAATTTTACCGGTCTTCTTGCTTATAGATTGCTTGAAGTACTTCTGTATTCACGAAAAGATTATCTGATCTTTCGATAGTATGACGAGCGTTTAATTTCTGTTCTTCAATTTCGGCGATTTTTCCTAAAAGCTGATGAGGATCTCAGAGTTGGCCTTCCATCTCCCCGACGCATGCAAGCGGTAGAAGAATCGCCTTGGGATGATTCTGCTGTTGACAGCGACGTGGATGAAAAACCTCTGGTTATTGATGAAAGCGGAGAACCGTTTGATTATTCTGAATTCTTTCTCTCTTGTTCCACGCTTCTCTTTTCCACTGCTGGTAAGAGCCCTGTATTTTCAAATATGTTCCATTCATTGAAATTGAGTTCTATTTCACAGCTTCGAGTCGTCCGAAAACTGAGGCAATTGCTAACAAGATAAACGTGGAATCGTGGACATCAATGGATCAATACACGAAGTACGTTGGCTTGTCGACGAACTGAAATTTCACTGCTTTCAAGCAGAGATTCTGTCCGTTATCCCCAATTATTCCATCGTCACCTACTTCTTTATTTTATTTGAATAAAATCATTTCGTCTGCAGAAAATTGAAGTCGGCGAGAACCGAGCAGCTCAAGACGCAAGAGAAATTCCGGCGGACATCAGTCGTGAACGCAGAAGAAAACACACTTCTAAATCACCAATTTGTTGAAAACTTACAAGCGAGCCGTAGTCAGAAAGATGAATTTTCGGAGATATCTAAACGCCATGTACAAAATACAAAGTCGGAAAAATTATCCGATCACAGGAGAAAAAGACGTCGTTCCCGGGATGAAAGAAACGTTCCCGAACAAAATGAAAGAACAACGCTGAGATGTAGTCCGGATCGAAATTATAAGCGTCCGCGAGTTTCTCCGCCTCGAAGAAGCAGATATTTTGATGCGGATGACCGGACTAAGCGTAGAGAAATTCTTGAGAATTCCTACAGTGATTATTCGTGTTCCAGCAACTTAATACGGGAATCTGTGCAAGTATTAGAAAGGTGTACAAAGCAGAGGGAACAGGCGACCTCGGTTACTTCAAACAGTGTGTCTTATGAATCTGGAGGGGGGAAACGTAAGGCTTTACTTCCGACACCGAATATACCTCCAAAACCTATGTTCTTCCGGGATTGTTCTGATGGAAAACGGTTGAGAAATTGCTCAAGGGAAAGCCGACGCCTTCCGGTTGCAGAATACGGTCGCTCAGGAGACTGACATTAAACCTTTGATGTACCGTATTTTGGTCGCTGTGAGAATGTGTGCATTCCGTGGTTTCACGAAAGAGACGACATGTGATTCTTTCTGTGGTTCATGAAGTTAGATCTGAGTGCTTTATGAGCGTGTTCTCAGGCCTGTCGTCAGTATTTGGTGAATTCACCGTGTTGCCGCTTTAGAACTTTTTGATTTGTCGCGAAAATCAAGTGCGCACTTCAGCGTCACGATCTTCGAATATACGTTGTTCTGAGTTCAGACTACCTCTGCCGGGATTTAAAATTGCCCGAATAAAAGGTGTGGCTTGAATTATGTTATTCGTGAAAGTATGAAGAGGTCCGTGCTTTTGTGCGGATACTTCTTCGAACAAGTTTCTTCGCTTGGGTTGCTTGAATTATGTCGCGATTCGGTTCGCTGGTGATCAAGAATTAACCCCGAAGGAATCTTCTATCTCGTTGACAGTGAAGTTGAACTCTACTTTAGCAATTACCAAATTAGGTGTACGAGCCGTGGTAGAGAAACATGTTCTACGGAAGCAGTAAATCACGAAAAATGGCGATGCCTGAAGCCGAACATCACACACTATTACCGTTTAGATATTCTGACCTAGACAAATGACAGGATGTGTTCCTGGAATAATCAATGATCGAATTTTTCTCATTGAATTCCCTTCTGCGTGGATGATTCGATGACTTCTCAGATTAGAGGAGCCCAGCCCTGTCCGTGCGATAATGAAGTCCTGAATATTTTGTGAGTCTAATTCCGAAGAATGCGTTACAGTACTTGTGCGCTACCGTTTCCCCCATTTTTTTATCTTTTGAATAAATCATTCTCTGTTGACATGAATATGATCGATTCCATAACTTGATTATAAAATCGCTTAAATGTAATTTATTTTGCTCTCAAATTCGTCCGAAGCTGGCGAAGCAAATTCGCCTTGTAGCACAAGTTTTTCGTTCGTTTGTCATCGCGTTTTTGTCCTGAATTGTTTTCTATGAAGGGATGTTGAAAGTTATGTAGAATTTATCACGAGCGTTAACCTTAGAATGAGACGAGTCGAAGTATTCGAATCGTTGGCAGAAAGGAAATGAGCGCTCCGGATGAATCAACACTGTCTGCATCTAACTGCATCACAAACGGAAAACGTTTGTCTGTCGAGAGTTAATGTGTTTGCTTCGCTAATTTTCCAATGTGCGTTGAACAGCAAGAGTCATCATCGCTATCCGCGTCTGCTTCGAAACGAGGGTGAAGATAAACCGAAATCATTTTGTCTGCGAGTGACCTGGGTATGGCAGTCACAGCTTTCTTGACTTGATCAGCGCAAAAGTTAGCAAAATTCGTCCCTTGCTCGCGAATCACGAATTCGCGGGAATCGTGCTCGCTAGAATGAGCCGATGTGTGACTTCCCTCCGAGTATCTGCGATAGTCAGATCTGTCCCACCTCTTGAGAATGAATTCTCTGCAGTGAAGAAAAAGTTGTGGATACCGTATCACGGAAGAGGAACCCATGAACTTACTGCAGTGCTGGCATTCGCGTCATCGCCTGCCAAGCAACGTTGTCGACCTTATCAACGACGAAGCCGAGTCCAGGTATTCCGAGCATTTTCCCCCAAATTTGTTTTTTCTCGATTGATTGACGAAGCCTAGGGAACTGAAATTCATGTGATGTTCACGATCTGCCTTCAATTCCGGAAAACTCTCTTTACTGTGCATAAAACTGTACTATGCGCAGTTTTCTGCGTTTAAATGGTTCACGTGATGCTATCCTATTGCCCATGATGGACATCGTTCTCTAAATATTTTGATGAGAATTGAGCATTACACGTGGTTGCACATTTTTGATTATTCCAAGAAATGACGAGTTTCATACGATTTATTGTCGGAATAGAGGACTCCTAAAGATTTTTTTTGCATCCGAACAAAAATCAAATTCTTTTTTTTGGTGGTCGTGGGGAATGTTCTATAATTATCTCATTGCAGTTTGCGCTTATCACCAACAGTGACATTAAGCCTAATCGAATCTTACTTCGTTTGCTAATATCTTCCACTCGGGGACGGGACATTCTTCTTCAGGCAATTCTGTGTGTGTAACGCGCACTATTGGAGCATGTAGAACATTCGCTACTTCTGAAGGTGCCTCGGTGACATCTAAACTTCCCTCATTCTCAGAATCGAAAGACTCCGATTGCTGCGTTTCCTCGTGTATCTCATGTTGGCCGATATGGTATGATTCGCTGCTAACAGCAACAATAGCATTTTCTCTGGGTTCATCAGGATCCGGGGAAAAATTCTCCGTATTTGGACTTGGGAACGGCAAGTTGTGTAATCCAGTACTGCGATGTGTGAGCCATTGCATGAACGCGGATGGATCCAATGGAAAAACCTTTCGTGTTCCAAATTTGAGTTTGGGTATGTTCAGGAACTCTTATAGTGCGTATCCGAGTTGATGGAGAAAAACGAAAAAAACATTCTCATCGCGATTTTAAAAACAGAATGGGTATTGCCCTCTTACCAGGCCATTTCCACTGCGCATGATACAGGGTAGTTACAGTTCGCCGTTCCTTCATTTTGACACCCGAATACAAAAGGTAGCAAACAGCATGGAAACGGGAGGAAGTCCCATATTGTTGGAACAGTGATGGTTACCGTTCAACCAGCGTGAGAGATGTTGGTCTGAGCCTTCGCTGGGTTTTATTAATTAAATAGAGGATTAATTAACGGGTACATGATTAAACCCAGCGTAACTTACATTTGGATAAAATATACCGCAGTTCACGTACGTCATGGAAATTGCAGGAGAGTTTCGAAAGTCGCGCTAGTAGATTTGACTGGCTCTGTGAAAAAAGCAAACGAAGGGATGCATATGGACGAGCGCTTGACTATTGACACAGTAGATGCGATCGTCGATATCCATTCCGAGTAATCTTGTTCACTATTCTTCCGTGGCGATTTCCTGGGAGTTTTACTGAAAGATGCTATATTGCCATCGAATTCAAGTGCAATGGTGTCTTCGGAAGAGCTCCAGATGGAGCAGTAGGTTCGGATTTCGTGACTCGCGATCGATGCTCAACTTTCATCTCGTGACAAGGAGTTCTAAATCACTCCACGTTTCAGATTATTTGAGGTTGTTTTCGGAAAATTTTTGTGCCGTGAAGTGAACGTTGCATCTGTTACAGATGGACGTGAGTATTTCTCGGACTTGTACCCTTAGTTGGATGCGTTAAAACTTATACTCTTTTCAGTCTATAACTGCGTACAATGGGGGCGCTGTTCTTGCGATGACCGGAAAGGAATGCGTCGCTATCGCTTCCGATCGACGTTTCGGTGTCAAATTGCACACCTTGGGCACAGATTTCACGGTCAGTTTCATTTTATCGGTGTGCTGTTGTAATCGAATTGATAGTAAGTTTGCTTCTGCATTCAGAGAATCTTCGACATGGGACCGCACATGTATATTGGCTACAGTGGTCTTGGCACTGATGTACAAACTGTACAAGAGCGCCTTTCATTCCGCAAGAACTTCTATGAGTTGCGTGAAGGCAGGAAGATGCATCCAAACACTTTCAGCCATATGGTGGCCAACTTTCTCTATGAGCACCGGTAAGAATCGAGCCTATTGAGCAGACCTGATTAAGCAAGTCCAGTCGTTATATTTTTCATGATTTAAGAATTTCGGTTTTTGATCCATTTCTGAAGTTTTGATCTGAATGGCGTTCTTTGACTCCGATCAAAAGTGCATCAAACCTCCTTTATTGGATGATGATGAACGACGATTTGATCTCTGATTCTTGTCACAGGTTTGGTCCATACTTCATCGAGCCGGTCATTGCTGGGCTGGATCCCATAACTTTCGAGCCAATTGTGGGAGGAATGGACCTCATCGGTTGTGTCAGCTTCCCTACAGATTTTGTTGTTGGAGGAACATGTACTGAGCAATTGTATGGCATGTGCGAATCGTTGTGGCGTCCGAAAATGGATCCCGAGGATTTGTTCGAATGCGCATCGCAAGCTTTAGTGAACGCTTTCGATCGTGATGCGATTTCAGGGTGGGGTGCCACTGTCTACATCATGTGAGTGCTGGTTATTCGAATTTATTCTCGCCGAAGCTTCTGTCATACTTAATATTCGATTTTATTTTTGCAGTGAGAAAGATAAGGTGACAGTTCGCACACTGAAGACCCGTATGGATTAAGAGCGTCTTCTTCTTAAATTGATGGCTCACCCGTCTACATTCTTCAAAATTCGAGCATATGAAAGTTCTTTTCTGCGATCCCTGTTGAGTTTGTGTTATTTTTTTGGCAATTACCGTTTTGTGATTGGCTGTGTACAGTTGTGTAAGAAAAAACAGTCTTTTTTCCGTAGATTGATGTGAGGATGAGTGTTAATCGTGAAAAAGATCGGGAAGGTGACCGAAGCCCTCCGGAGCGTTACGCGTTCTCAATTCCTCCGTATTCACGTTGCAGCAGTAACGGATCCCTTCATGCCATGTCGTCTCCTTCTGCTGCGAATACAGGTGAGAAATTGAAAAATTGTCTGAAGTGTATGAGTCGTGTCTGTGGAATCCAATTTTTTTATTGTCGCATTTTTTTGCTACTTTTGTTTCCATTTTGACGATAAAATGTCCGATGAGGTTTTATGTAGTGTAGACGTCTGAATTTTCTGCGTGACAAATCTTGAACGCAATACTTGTAAGTGTGTGAAAAACATTTTTTAACTTGTTCAAAAGTTTTTAACGAATTAAGCGAAACAAGAATATTGTAAAATGAAAATCCGAGCCTCATTATTTTATAAAATTTTCGTCTGTCACCTGGAAGATCGTGTGGTATTGTGGTCATGGGCAGAAATAATTTCGGATGAATTCAGGTTTCTTACGAAGTACAGTATAATTAAAGCGCAGAGTTCGTCTCGATCAGCTACTTGTCCTCGTTGCCTTGCATCAAGCGTTGCTTTTCCATCATTAGATGACGACGATGACAGTGATTCCAAGACTTCCATCACATTTAAGGAACGGAAGCGGGAAGCACACACGCAAGCGGAGCAAAAGCGCCGTGATTCCATCAAGCGCGGCTATGACAATCTGCAAGAAATTGTCCCTACATGCGCGCAATTGGATAGTGTCAGTGGCTACAAATTGAGCAAAGCTATCGTTCTTCAGAGGTCCATCGATTATATACAGGTAAACGAAGAATTTATTTTCGATGCCGTACCACTGATCACGTAGTCGAGTTCGCTTTTGTGCTGTTTAACTTTTTCACCTAACTTTCGAAGAATTGAGTCGTAGGTGGACGCATTTCAAGAAAGCGCGTGTATGATGAGCGAGAGTAGATTTATTTTATCTTTTGGCACACTTGCTGTTTTACTACATGCACGATTGAGACTTGACTTTTATGCTCGCGCTTTAATTACATCGTACATTACCTGCTTTTTAATATCGTGTTATGCAGGAAATTTGTAACAACGAACTTTTGGAGACCCCAAGAGACATTTTATGCAATAGAATCTCGCAACAGCAAATATCAGTATTTCAGATTGATTGTAGACAGGTCTGACGAGAAGATTAATGAGAGTTTTTCAGATTAATTTTTAAAATTTTCTTTGAACAACTTATTGAGTGCATTATAAACAACTCGCCAGTATATTTCCGATTTTTAATTGAGGAAAGCATGGCGGGAATGGTGGAGTTTAGGATACAGTACTGATGTATTGTACAGTGAAAAAAACTGACATGTTTTATTATTTTCTTCCTGAAGTTTTTGTCGCAGCAGAAGAAAAAACTGGACGATGAAATTACCTCGTGGCACTTACACGTCCAAAAACACAAGGCAAACGAAGTATAATTACTTCAGTAAGGCCTCTGTTGGCTAGGGTGGTAACCACTAGCGCCTTCAAGCGGACGTTGTCGCGAGTTTTCCACTTGACTCATCACGTCTTGAAGCACAGAGCACATCAGGTCCCGGAGACTCTGAAAATTGACATGCTTGATAATTATCACGTCCATATAAATTCAAGGCTAATCTAAAGTATTTTTTCAAATGAATGCCAAAGGGGATTACTTTCAGATTTTGTTCAACGTTGCATTACCGTACAGTAATCCATTCCAGGGACTGGTTTATTGCTCCAGACATTTGTCATACAAGAAATGATTTTCCATAGTAATCCATGGAAAAATACACCATTGGTTCCAGTTCAAAAGGAAATCAAGGTAAAATGAAGACAACAAACAGGAAAAATCAAAAACAGACAATAAAACGAGGAAAACATTATTTATGATGATCTCATATCAAGTCGCAGCTCATCAAAAGCAGAGAGGCCCCTCAAATTTTTCGAAAATTAGGCTTTTCCTTCAAATTTTAACTAAAAATCCAGTTGGTCTTGACATTTAGAATATAATTTCATGAAAATGAGAACGTAATACTCTGGCATTTTTGCGGGGATTTTAACGTCTTCTATTTTGACTCAAGATTTGTTCTTCTAGCCAAATTCGTTGCTTAAGGCAAAATGGCGTCCAAACCCTGGGTTCTATATGCTAGCTGTTTGTTCCTCGGGGGAATGGTGGAGTTTAGGATACAGTACTGATGTATTGTACAGTGAAAAAAACTGACATGTTTTATTATTTTCTTCCTGAAGTTTTTGTCGCAGCAGAAGAAAAAACTGGACGATGAAATTACCTCGTTACGGAAAGAGGTCGTAGCATTACAGATCATGAAGTCAAATTATGAGCAGATTGTTGAAAGCCAGCAAAATAGACCAGGTCCATCCGCGGAAGCTGTATCCGATGCCGTGAAATTTGAGGTGAGCATTCGTTCTTCTGTGATCGGAGCATTACGGGTTGTGTCTATGTCCATGGAATTCGGAAGTGAAGATTGAGTTTTGATACATTTTTTGTTTTTCAGGTGCTTCGGCAGATTTTAGAAGGTCTTTACAGATCTTTCGATCACTCCGTTTCCGTCAACAATTTTGCCGAGCTTTCCGGCTGCGTCTTCACGTGGTTGGAGGAATTTTGTAAACCCCAGGTATGTAAAATTCGCGTTTCATTCACGATTGATGCGCGTTTGTACTGTACAGTTTCTAATTATGTGGAAAACTCTCGGCACTCCTGTTAGTTATCGGAAACCGTTAATTGCTCTTCATACGATTTTTCATCTGATATTATCTTCTCATCTTGATGTTCGTGCGAATGACTCGACTCGAGATATTCATTCAATTACAGTGGGTCCTTGAGCAACGAACCCCCCGAGGAACAAACAGCTAGCATATAGAACCCAGGGTTTGGACGCCATTTTGCCTTAAGCAACGAATTTGGCTAGAAGAACAAATCTTGAGTCAGAATAGAAGACGTTAAAATCCCCGCAAAAAATGCCAGAGTATGATGTTCTCATTTTCATGACATTCTATTCTAAATGTCAAGACCAACTGGATTTTTAGTTGAAATTTGAAGGAAAAGCCTAATTTTCGAAAAATTTGAGTGGCCTCTCTGCTTTTGATGAGCTGCGACTTGATATGAGATCATCATAAATAATGTTTTCCTCGTTTTATTGTCTGTTTTTGATTTTTCCTGTTTGTTGTCTTCATTTTACCTTGATTTCCCTTTGAACTGGAACCAATGGTGTATTTTTCCATGGATTACTATGGGAAATCACTTCTTGTATGACAAATGTCTGGAGCAATAAACCAGTCCCTGGAATGGATTACTGTACGTTAATGCAACGTTGAACAAAATCTGAAAGTAATCCCCTTTGCATTCATTTTAAAAAATACTTTAGATTAGTCTTGAATTTATATGGACGTGATAATTATCAAGCATGTCAATTTTCAGAGTCTCCGGGACCTGATGTGCTCTGTGCTTCAAGACGTTATGAGTCAAGTGGAAAACTCGCGACAACGTCCGCTTGAAGGCGCTAGTGGTTACCACCCTAGCCAACAGAGGCCTTACTGAAGTAATTATACTTCGTTTGCCTTGTGTTTTTGGACGTGTAAGTGCCTTTGCTAATGAACGCACTCGGGAACGCGAGGTTATGTTTGAATGTTATTTTTTATCTCTTCCCGTGCGAAAAAAATGATCGCGAGTCGTTTGTATTACCCTTTTTTTGTTGCAAACGCGACGACAATTCGGAAAGGAGTATTTTTTTCATTAGGAAGTTTGGAAATAGTTTACCACGATTTGAAAGATTGTTTGTCAGTTTGGTTATCTAAGTTTCATGGCCATGTGTTGATGATTGCGTGCAATTGACTACTTTTTGGGGATTATTGATTGGTTATCTAGAGAACATTCTCAGGATTTTTTTTTTAGTAGCATTCCGGAATAGTTATAGTTTGAAGCCGGATTCACATGTTTTGTGCGGTTATTCGAAGCATGAAAACGAATTGTGCAATGTCCGCGTGGATTTCACGTCTTATCCGGGATTGGATGAGGAATGAAGTTGGTATTTTGGGTGATCTTGAGCATTTCTTGTGGTTGTCTGGTTGAGTATTGTTTGTCTGTTCGTTTCATGATTTACTATTGCTCAAGTTTTTTTTTCCTCTTTTGTGATCCAGGATTTCAAATTTCTTTCAATTTTTGCCAGCATCAGTGTCCACAATAACTTAAATACTAAATTGTATTAGCTTTCAAGAAATGAATTCGTCGAGGCTTCTGTTTCAAAATGTCACGCATTCGTGGCGCTGTGGTTTGGGAACGCTCACGGGGAGATCCTCTGTTTTGGTGAGTATGTTTCTGTGTGACAGATGCAAGGGAAATTGCCCATCAATGGTTTCAAAATCGGTCTGTTAAGAAATTTTATAGAAGGCAGATTCAATGCGAGAAAAGTGTATTTGCATTTTTTTTTTCTAAATTTCATCAAAGAGAGTTGGAGATGACGACAGATCATGAATTATATTTTAAAGAAGAACTTATCAGCGTTAATTGCCCATTTATCACGGAAATGTAGTCGTAAATGAACTCCGTGAGTTTTCAGTTCAATATGACGAGATTTTTCAAAGGTCCCCGGAGTTTTTTGTCATGCGATTTCACTGTATTATGTATCGAGATTTCACTGTGTTACGTAATGATATTTAAGCGTATCTTCAAAATTCAATCCTGCTTTCAAAGAAATGACGGAACAAGTTTTTAAAATGATGCCACCAACCGCATTCTAAAAGCAAGAATTCTCTGTTATAAAGAAATTTATTTGCACTTCGCATATAATTTATAGTATTTTTGTACAATCCCGAAGGTGTGGTTTTTTAACCGTTCGTTCTATCTCCAGGAACCAAGTGCTTCTTTCTCGACGGGAACATCCGCCAGATCTGTTGCCTCTCCTGCTACTGCTCCGGTGAGTCCCCTCAAGATTCACACAGCATTGGAAAAGTGTGTAATTCTGCAGTTATGTTTAATGCCGAGAGGTCAGCTTCTTCGATTTTTTCTTCTGCACAGTTATTGTCTAATCTTGAAGTTGAGATCGACTTTTTTAAATTCTTGAAAAAATTATAATTTTTTTCTTGCTAAAAAGTAGTAGTGATGTTCGCATTCAAGTGTATGGGAAAACGTGATCCAATGTGCGGATGTAGGGGCAAGGTCCAATCATTGTATGTCCCCATCTTGGACCCCCACTGTAATTTGCTCGATTGATTGCATTTTGTTTTAATGGAAAAAAGAAATGAAATGCCTTTTCTTGAATGGAATTCATTTTCGTGCTTTGTTTTTCCTGTAGGAATTGAATCCCGAGTACCCGATTGCTCGGTACGGCGGTCGCCACGCAGTAACAATGTTGCCGGGTGCTGGGATCGGTCCCGAAATGATGAAACACGTTCGAGACATTTTCCACTTTACCGGCATACCCGTAGACTTTGAAGTTGTCGACACGGATCCGACGATGGTCGACGCCAAGCAGATGGACAGCATCATCACGTCGGTGAAGCGAAACGGCGTCGCCATCAAGGGAAACATCGAGGCGAAATTCCCGCTTCCCGGGCAAATCTCGCGCAATGTGATGATCCGCAACGAACTCGACTTGTTTATGAACACGATCCACGCGAAATCCTGGCCCGCGATTTCCAATCGGTTCCCCAACATCGACATCCTGATCGTCAGACAGAATTTGGAAGGGGAATACTCGATGAAGGAGCATGAAAACGTGCCTGGGGTCATTGAGAGTCTCAAGATCATCACTCGGCCGAATTCGGAACGCCTGGCCCGATTTGCGTATCGCTACGCCATTAATGATCAGCGGCGGAAAGTAACGATCGTGCACAAGGCGAATATCATGAAGCTGTCGGACGGGTTGTTTTTGGAGACGTGTCGGAGAATCGGAGAAGAATTCGCGGATCGAATTACGACCCAAGACATGATCATCGATAATTGTTGCATGCAGCTGGCTTCGAGGCCGACTCAGTTTGATGTTATGTTGATGCCGAATCTCTACGGAACTATCATTACGAACGTCGTGTGTGGGCTGATTGGTGGAGCCGGGTTGATTTCTGGTTGCAATTACTCTAGTCGTGGGGTAAGTTTTATTTTTTTTTAAATAATTTTTGAACAGCTTTTATGACTGGCTTTGTCGAAAAAGTGTCACCGGAATCAGTACTGTGCAGTAATTTGAAAGAGGCGAAAGAAGCTTAATATTTTGAGTCGAATCTATGAGGCTTCGTCAAGAGCCCTTCGATTGTACTTATGCCTATTATCTGAATCTTCTGGAACACTTTCCGTCGAAATCTGCTCTTGAATTTAAAGGGAATAATGATCTAATGTAATATATCCTTTCTTCTTGTACTGTGGAACCTTGAACAATGAATTTAATTCGTTCCAGTGATTGGTTTGTTGCTCAAGGTATTCTTCATGTAAGGCACACATTCAATTGATTCCAGGTCCAAAAATCATTAAGGCTGAGTAATAAAATGAGCATGAAAATCAATGAAAAATAACGAGTTTCAGATGAAAATGATTATAAAAACGTGCGAAGTATAAGTACAAAGGAAACTCAAATTACCACATGATTTTTATTTTCCTTCGAATGAAATAGCTTCATTCCGATTTTTGTTCCCCATGCAAAAATATACTGTCATGAAATCTGAAAAAAATACAAATTACTGTATAGCTTTTTTAAAGGAATTTTTAAACATTTTTGTTACTGTACTCTAGGTTTGTTCCTCGGCTGGATTTCTTTGCTCAAGGACCCTCTGTAATGTTCAGTAAATGACAGTAGTCGAATTTTAGATGCTCTCAAACGTGAAACGGAGTCTGATCTTTCAGGGGAAAATATTGCGAGAAAGTGGTTTAAAATTTGAGTAGATGCCCTAATTTGGGCTGACTGAGCATGAACTTGATTCTATTTGTTGAAATACGGTTTGACGGAATTCACTCCGCACCTCTGTAGTAATGAGGATAATCTAATCTCGTATTTTAGGACGTCGACCCGAATGAAAAATCTTTCCATAACACAGTACAGTACTGTAGTGTATTTCAGTAGTAAATAAATTAATTTTTGGTAGATGTCGCTGGTGATATCAATTCTAATCTAATCTCCAGCTGTCTTCTATCTGTACTGGGTCTCTTCGAATTTTTTTTTTCGCGGCTACTGCGTGAGCTCAAACATTGCTGTGTAAGCATTCAAATATTGATTTAGTAACGTGTACATTTTCTTTCGCAAAATTTGCCCTTGTTTTTCTTCCAGTAACGTATGTTCCAGTCTTCTGGATTCTCTTCGAAACTTTTTGACTTTTTACTTGCTATTCTAATTTTTTTTCAATTCTTTTTTTTCCCTCACAAAATATGAAGAACAGGAAGTACAGTACTGAGTATTCCACTGCACATTGACTTTTTGGACGCCCGGATCGTATATTTTCAATTTAATTTTTACGCGCTTCAGAAAAAGATGGTGACTCAGTTTGATGTTATGTTGATGCCGAATCTCTACGGAACTATCATTACGAACGTCGTGTGTGGGCTGATTGGTGGAGCCGGGTTGATTTCTGGTTGCAATTACTCTAGTCGTGGGGTAAGTTTTTTTTTTTTTGAATAATTTTTGAACAGCTTTTATGACTGGCTTTGTCGAAAAGGTGTCACCCGAATCAGTACTGTGCAGTAATTTGAAAGATGCAAAAGAAGCTCACTATTTTGAGTCGAATCTATGAGGCTTCATCAAGAGCCCTTCGATTGTAATTATGCCTACTATCTGAATCTTCTTGAACACTTTCCGTCGAAATCTGCTCTTGAATTGAAAGGGAATAATGATTTAATGTAATACAGTATGTCCTGTGGAACCTTGAACAATGAATTTAATTCGTACAAGTGATTGGTTTGTTGCTCAAGGTATTCTTTATGTAAGGCACACATTCAATTGGTTCCAGGTCCAAAAATCATTGAGGCTGAGTAATGAAAATGAGCACAAAAATCAATAAAAAATAACGAGATCATCAGTAACTGATAAGTTTCAGATGAAAATGATTTATAAAAACATGCTAAGTATAAGTACAAAGGAAACTCAAATTACCTCATGATTTTTATTTTCCTTCGAAAGAAATAGCTTCATTCCGATTTTTGTTCCCCATGCAAAAATATACTGACATGAAATCTTAAAAAGTACAAATTACTGTATAGCTTTTTTAAAGGAATTTTTAAACATTTTTTTTTACTTTACTCGAGGTTTGTTCCTCGGCTGGATTTCGTTGCTCAAGGACCCTCTGTAATGTTCAGTAAATGACAGTAGTCGAATTTTAGATGCTCTCAAACGTGAAACGGAGTCTGATCTTTCAGGGGAAAATATTGCGAAAAAGTGGTTTAAAATTTGAGTAGATGCCCTAATTTGGGCTGACTGAGCATGAACTTGATTCTATTTGTTGAAATACGGTTTGACGGAATTCACTCCGCACCTCTGTAGTAATGACGATAATCTAATCTCGTATTTTAGGACGTCGACCCGAATGAAAAATATTTCCATAACACAGTACAGTACTGTAGTGTATTTCAGTAGTAAATTAATTAATTTTTGGTAGATGTCGCTGGTGATATCAATTCTAATCTAATCTCCAGCTGTCTTCTATCTGTACTGGGTCTCTTCGAAATTTTTTTTTCGCGGCTACTGCGTGAGCTGAAACATTGCTGTGTAAGCATTCAAATATTGATTTAGTAACGTGTACATTTTCTTTCGCAAAATTTGCTCTTGTTTTTCTTCCAGTAACGTATGTTCCAGTCTTCTGGATTCTCTTCGAAACTTCTTGACTTTTTACTTGCTATTCTAATTTTTTTTTTCCCTCACAAAATATGAAGAACAGGAAGTACAGTACTGAGTATTCCACTGCACATTGACTTTTTGGACGCCCGGATCGTATATTTTCAATTTAATTTTTACGCGCTTCAGAAAAAGATGGAATTAACATTCTGACCGATGTATTTGTTTCAGTATGCCTTGTTTGAACCCGGAACGCGAAATACTGGAACAGCGTTGGCCGGGAAGAACGTTGCCAACCCGATTTCCATGGTCAATGCCTCCATTGACATGTTGGATCACCTTGGATTGCGCCATTACGCCGCAATCCTGAGGATTGCTATTCAAAAAACTATTACGTCGGATAAAATCATGACGAAAGGTGCGTCCATATTTTCTTTTTCCTTTTAGTTTACGGAAAATCTCGGCATGTGGACGAAAATCTACGGACGAACGTGGACGATACGAAGGCATTTTCTTGAAGTTGTGAAATGTTATGAATTTATTTGCATAGTTGAGCGCGTGCGAAGAAAATTACGACGTACGTCCTTGTAGTTCTCAGATTTTTTTGTCAGCTTGGTTTTTCAAGCGTTTACCCCAATTTCCTCCAAATCACAAAATGTACGCATTCGCATTTTATTTTTTGTCAGATATTGGAGGCTCGAACTCAACTACGGACGTGATTGACTGTATTAAGAAGCGTATTGAACAAGAGGCTAAGATCCATGATTGGTACGTATCATTTGCGCTCATTATTTCATTTGGTGTGGGAATGATTTCTGCAGTTTATCCGTTCCATGCATAAACTGAAGGTTTTGCGAATTTGCCTGAAGCCCTTTATACTCTTGAATTAGCTTTTTGTGAACCGTTTGTGTGGGGTAGGATTCGTGTTTTGGCTGAAAAATCATTGTTGGGTGGGGTTGTGTACAGCAAAAAAAAAAAAAAACTTTATGTTGATAATTGTGTTCTTATCGTTCTCGTAATTTTTCAATTTTTGGTACTGTAGTTCTTCAAATGACTTGTTGGAACTTGCTTTGGATCTCAGTAGACTCGTAGTTTTATTGGTGGTGAGAAGTATGGTTCTTTGTGGTTTTCTTTCGCAATGTGGATGCCGATCATACGTAAATTCGGCTGTGGTCTGTAATTGCAGGTCAGAACCGGAGAAACCCAAAGTCAGGCCTGCTGCCGAAAAGAGACCGTATCAAGTTTAAGTCGTGTAAAACCCTGCTCATTTTTCTTGACTTTTCCGTTCCAAATCTGAAATCGCATGTTCCCAGTGTTGTCAGTGTAGCGGCATGGAAACGATTTTCGTTCCTGTTCGGTTTTGGGTGGGGTTTGTCCCCTGTCCGCTCGTCTTCCTGAGATCCGGTTTCTGATGTAAGTACTGTAAGAAGATTTTTTGAGCATGTTTCGATTTCTGTGGATTGATTTGTTTATACTGTTCTGTTCTTCTGGGAATCAGTGTGTGTGTTTGTGTTCTTGAGAAATTTTTTGTTGTTATCTCCCGAATTCAGGCATCGTTAAGGTGCATTCGATTTTTATCGTGGGTTCTTCTCATTTGAACGTTTGTCCCGAGGTCTCATTTTTCTGCATCATCATGTAGGTGTCGCTTCTGTTGAATTACTTTTTTGTAACTGAATGGGTTATGTTGGGTTTTATTACTTTGGCTTCAGTATGGTCCTGTTGGTTGTACCTTGTCATTTCCTAATTATTGTTAGTGTTCTTTGATTTGTTTTGAGCTTTGAATTGGGAATAATTCAGGGTAACCAAGGCATTGTTCAGCTTGAGCCTGGTTAGTAGTGCGCAGGTGGACTGTCATTACAATAGTTTTGTCTACAACAATTTTCTCTGTATGACAAATTATTTTTGGTCCCATAGGGTTCTATAGAACAAAATCCTCCATAGAATGAATGATTTTCCTGGTTGCTTGAATTTAGTTGCATACAGAGTTTTAATATTTGTGGGTATTTCACTCACTTGATGATGCTGGTGACACCTATGTGACTTCTCAAGAAACAGGCTTGTGAGTTTGAGTGAAAAGGACCATAGTTTTAACTGGTGCAAATTGCTGCTATGGAGTAAGAATATAAGCCTGACATGTAAGGTTCTAACAAACAATGTATTTTGAAAATATTTTGAGGATTTAGCCCTTTTTCATTTCATCTCAAATTATTCGTCATGATGCCCGTTGAAATAAATGGTTCAATTGTTTCATCGGCAGGTGATGACCCGAAGTTCATCAATGGAAGTGATCGTGGCCTCGAATACCATGTTGGAAATGCAAAATTTGTGTTTGTTTCACATTGACAGGGTTGGTTTTTGATACGTGGTGCGAACTGTTACCATGCCCCTGTAGGAAGGAAAATGATTTGTGGATTTTATTTTCCTTCTTCCACTTCTTCTGAACCTTTTTTGTCTTTGTCTATCTTGCTCCTGATGGCGATAGAAATTTAGTCCCAAAAGAAGAATGTGATCTGTGCGCCATAATCTTCGTAAGAAGGACGCTTTGAGTGTTTTAGTGGACATAGAAATTATCAGTGATGTTATGATGAACGGTTCAAGTTTTTGATCGCCTCGAAGATCTGCTCCTGCTTGTGGCTGAAGAATGAACGGTTCTCTCCTTTGTGCAGCTGTGTCTATATTTCTTTGAGTCACCCGGCGCCGCCGTTTGATTGCTGGTGCACATGTGATGGAATTTATTTTGCGTCCGCCTTTTTTTTTTTACGGCACAGTACTCATTTTTCTACTGCATGAACGGAGCTTTCCGTTTGCGTCCATGGTGATTTATGCCAAGTCAAACGATGGGCACCGGCTTCCTTATTTAGCGATAGGCATAACATTATTCACAATGTTGTTCGCAAGCATGCAGTAAGTTGAAATTTTCGTACTGTACATTATTTTTTTGCGAACCCTTCTAGTGTTGTGATGAAATTTTTGCTATAATATTTCTGATTCTTCACATTATCATGAATTTTCCGTATGATTTCACTTCAGTGGGTGAACGATTTTTTGGAAACGTCCATTCATATTTCTCCAAAAACTGATCCCCGATTTCAGAATTTTGCTGAATGATTTTTTGCCTGTAATTCACGAAAAAAATTTTAGTCGCGATGTTGTTGCGTCGAAGTTTATCGACCCACTACTATCAGGCGCCTTTAGGTTGATTATACTATTTTTGTCATCGATTTTGTTATGCAAGATTATAGAATAGTGATGTAGTTAGTTTTTAGAATCAATTGAAGTGTATACTGGATCACTTCAGGTGAGTTCTGATACGAAGAACTCACCTGAAAAGAGTTGACTGCATACCGTACTACAGTATATATGAATTATGTTCCATAAAAATCTGTCCAAGGAATCAATCAAAAGACTTGAGAGCTTAAAAAATTAAGCATGCTGTATTGAGTTGGCTAAATCCAGGTTCCCAACCTGTGGTCCGCAGAAGTTTTTTGCTGGTCCTGGGGAAATTTTCTTCAGCTTGATGAATTAATAAAATGTGGCAATGATGGACAGTGCAGTATCCCTATCTGAAATTTTGGCAAGAGAATGGCAGTTAAAATTATCTGTTGAAAAATGCTGTACATGCTGGCTTTTCTGCTATAACACCAGAAAAATTTTCTTGTGAGGGAATGAATTATTTTCTATTTTTATTTGGGATATCTTTTTTCAAGCCCATTTTTCTATTTTTTGAAGGCATGCCACTACAGCTGCTTCATTGGTTTTTAACTTAATTTTATAAAAAGTAAAAACTTTTCAAACACATGCAATAATGTCTTTCTAGCAAAACTTGTTTGAGTCCTCAATGATTTTACAAAACTTGGCTGGTCTGCTGACTTTGTTGGCCCAAAAATGTTTTTTAATGTAAATTTACTGGTTCACAGGCCCAAAAAGGATGGGCTGAAACGTTTTCTAAAACCTTGAGGTCCACCAAGCTGAAAGATTTATTCAAGCTTTCAAACTTTGCTTTCAGCATTATTGCATGAAATATTTTGGTAAGTACAGTATAGTTGCGTGGCTGATTAAAATATTTTAACTTCCTAAAAACGGTGTTCCTGTCAAAATGAAAGCAAAATGTTCACCTGGATAGCAAGCATAGTTATCACTAGTGTCTGGGGAAAAAGAGTGTTTCCCACCTGTGGCCGAATCGTGAGAATTACGACATTTCCTGCTACTGCCACAGCAGTTTTAGGAATCAGCTTCTGATCTATTACAGTACTTAGAATAACTGGACCCATGCACTTATTTTCAGATTACAGTGAGACCCCAAGATGTGGACTTAATTTGTGCATCAAGACTCAAGAGTGTCCCTTAGTTGAAATGTCCCCAAGTTGAGTCTCATTTTCCCTTAGACTTACAGCATATAATTTTTAATTGGTGTTTCAAGTAAAAAAAATACTCACCATAATTCTATATGAAAATAAAAATTTTCTCCCAATTTCAACTGACTCTGTCAATATATTTCAACACAATATGGACATTTGGGGAATTGAATACTGATACCTCTGTAAAGTACATAGAACTGTTGGCATTCTTTGTAAAAATAACATTCAAGTGAACAAGAGAGAAGAAAGTCCCTCTATCCTGGAGATAATTTCTTAAAATTAGGTAAATGGATGGTAAATTGCTGAGAGAAATGCCCAAGAACTTTTCTTACATGAATTTTGTGGTTGTCCACAAACCCTGAGGCAAAAGTATACAGTATTTACCAAACACAGTCTCATAGAATCTTTTTTGTTTTTAAAATGTGGAGCAAACAAGAAGAAATAATATCTCTGAATAGCACCCTCAAGCTATGAATCCATGTATGGTAAATTCACTGTACAGTACAGTACCTTCATTGACGTCCACACCACCCACCACTCTTGTGTTCCTGCGCAAAACCCTGTTGGGCGACAGCACCAGGGATGATGGACCTTGCTCCTGCTGCTGGTGTTTGCGCCCCCACCATGTCTGTGTGATTGATTCACCCAACCCCTTGTGTCCTTTTATTTTCAAACACATCTCTGCTCATTTGCTACATTCCCCCTCCTGTTCCCCTTATGAAGCTGCAAATTTTTCCTTTATAGTGAAGCACAGTAATACACTGAAATATATGGGATTCTTACTGAATGAGGATTATTTTCTTCCATCCGCATCAACAACTGCTCAAGTGTCTTAAAAAATTTTTTTTTCAGTAAAATAAACAATCCTTTTAACAATATTAAAGTAAGTGGCAAAGAAAAAATTTCGAAGTGGGCCCTTGCTGGTGCCACCACCAAGAAGATGTACCATTATTTCTCACCACTACTGATGATAAAAATGCTGCCTGCAGTCTTCATGCTCCATGGTGCTGATGATGGTAGGCCGGTGCCACCACAGCAGTGTCAAGATGGAACACAGGCTGGTGTGTCCTGCTGGTCGGCACTGCTGTGCTCACCAGCATCACAAGACTCCAACCAACTCTGATTTTGTCAACTGGTGTGAGAATCCAGAATTTGGGGTTTACAGCACCTAGCAGCAGCTGCGTTATTGCCCTATGTTTGCAATGGACTCCTGTTTGGCAAATATATTGTTATCCTAATTTAGCTTGGAACTGAAATTAGTCTTCTCACTCAGAAAAGTCTTCATGATTTTACTTTTATTCAACTAGCAAATAAACAATAACAATTCTGAGGATATTTATATTTCTTTATGGCTGGGATGATTGACAAATAAAATGTACTCCTTTTTTATAAAAATAGTGCAAGTATGCATTTTCAGAGATAAGTTGGGCAAATGAAAGGTGCTCAGTCACCTTTTACCACTTTGGAGCACAGTACACAGACAGTGGATGACCAAAACCTGATAGTGTTATAGTGGGTTGGATTGAGCAAAGGTAACTGACCACTTGAAAGTTGCTCAGGTTGTGTATAGATATACTGTACATAGTACTGTATATCTAGTTTTTATGTGTGTGCACAGGGCTGGATTAAGGTGGGTACTGTTGATGCTGTAGCATCAGGCCCACCAGGCATATAGGCCCCCTGAGAATTCAAAAATGAAATTCCAAAAGCTGGTGACTTTAAAATTCTGCAAGATGGGGAATTCAAACTTTCAAGAGAGTAAAAAAAGTTTGCAAAAGCAGGAAAGAGAAAAGTATTTAGGATTTTTAAAATCAGACATCACTAAATCAATTCAAGCACACTGCAGTGTGCTTGAATTAAATTGGGTTCTATGTGCATGCACATAGAAACCCTTTAATAGGAAACCAAATCACAGACATGTCCTTGGTTGAGAGAACCCAATCATTCCTGTATTAAAAATGTATCCAGGCCTATTATCAAAAACAGGAAAGGCAGCGTCACAAACATCATAGGAAGGAAAAATCCAATCAAAGATTCAATTCCAGTCATGCCCCTGGTGGGGGTATAAAAGTGTCTCTCCTGTGAGTCTTGTCCCCACTTCAAAAGCCTGTGGTGGCTTCAAAAATCTTCTGAAGAGATTTTTATGGTGTTTGAAAATTACAATATTTTATTTCTGAAAAATCAGGGATTTATAAACGATGGTGATGTAGAAAATTAATTTTATTTAATTCATTCCCTGCTGTGCCTCCTTCTCCCCCTCCCCCTTTGTCATTGTTCTGGGTTCCATAAATCCAAATGTCCCTTTGTTTGCAATGAAGATGCTTTTGAACACACTCTTAAAAAAACATTTTTCACCTTGCATCCTGGGAAACAGGAAGATACCCCCTGCTTCAATTTTCTAATGTGCACCAGGCCAAGAGTATCTTGTCCAAGCCATATTTTCTATGAGGAATTCTAGGAGCAGGAGTGTGGCAAACTGAGATTGTTATTCTTTAAACTGTATATCCCTGTGTATCTTGTATAGTGGGAAAATATGTCTACATCTTGAATTCTTGCCAGATTTTAGTATAAGAAAATTGATAGTCTCAATATGTATTTTCTAGATTGTCCATTGCTCTATATAGTCTATATAAACATTTTGGAGGTAATCAAGATATTTCCAAGTTGCTGAATGTTATTTCTGTTGCTTTTTTTGTGGAGCCTCTCACTGCATTCCAATGTGAACACTGCAAGGTTTTTTTTTGCAATGATGACAATGTACAAATTTTAGACAATTTATAAATCTTAATCAAACTTGTTGGCAGGATTGGAATAAATTATTGTATTGAAAATTGCATACTAAAGGAGAATTTGGCCCATTTTTTTGCAGCATCAGGCCAAAATGTGGTTTAATCCAGCCCTGTGTGCAGTGTGCATGTACTGTCTCTAATCACACACCATTTGATCCCCTTCTGCAGTACTGAGTGATTGTTCCACCTAAACTTGAGTCACTTATTTTCAAACACCAATTGGCTCATTTGTTACATTCCCCTTCCTCCTCCTTTTTACAGTTGCATATTTTGCCATATGTGATGTACAGTGAAACAAAGAATGCATTATGGAAATTACGTTGCATTACTGAATAAGGAACATTTTATTCCCATCACATCAACACCTGCGCGAGTGTCCCAAAATGTTATTTGCAGAAAATTAATGAAACCCTTCCTCTATATATATCAATATCAGCCTTCAAATTGTAGTTTATTGGAAATTCCATACTCTGGCACATTCACATTCTGACCATGGGAACTGATTGATGAATTCCAAA